CATAGGGGTGGTGGCATGGAGTTTTACTCCATCCACAGGCAGTGCAGGACCTGACATATTCTTTCACATTGGAGCAGAGGTTAGGCCACATGTAGTCCCTGCAGATGAGTTCTAGGGTGCAGTTTTGTCTGAAATGACCTGCTAGAGGATGGTCATGCTTGAAATGAAGCACTCAAAGGCAGAGATCATCAATGTCAGGGACAAAGATGCAACCATCAAGGTGGAGTAGACTGTCAGAGTCCAGGGACCACCAAGGCTTGGTCAGGGTTGGGAGATGGCTGACAGAGACTGGGTTGGATGGTAAGGCAGAGATGATGTTGGAGTGCAAGCACTCAATGTTGAAGACCATGGCAGCATGGAGCACAGGTGCCATGAGGGTAGTGGTATGGAGGGATGATGCAAGTTGCTCCTGTGTAAACATAGAGCAGAACCTTCTAGGTAATGCTGCCAATGGTGGAAGGCCTTGAAGATAGCCAACAGCTCCTTGTCATGGGTATCATAGTTGAGTTCTGGCACAGTCATGGTGTGGGAGTAGAAAGTGACTGGGTGGAGTTCACTGTCAGAGCAGGTGAGTGACAAAATGCCAGCAATGGCATAGTCGGAGGTGTCAGTTTCAACTGTAAGTGGAGTGTCAGGAACCCAGTGAGTGAGAACAGGAGCAGAGCTGAAGGCATCCTTCAGGCAGAGGAAAGTGGAGCAGCACTCTTCAGAAAAGTTCCAAGGAGCACCCTTTCGTGTGAGGTGAGTGAGTGGAATGACAATGTCAGAGTAGTTATTAATGAATCATCTGTAGAAGTTTGTGAAACCAAGGAAGGACCGGATGTCTTGCACCTTCCACAGCTCAGGCCAGTCACAGACTGCCTGAACCTTCTCAGCAGACATGGTGAGACTGGAGGGAGAAAGAACATAACTGAGGTACTCAATGGAGTCAGAGTGAAACTTGCACTTCTCTGGCTTGGCATAGAGACCATGCTTTCAAAGGCAGCAGAGTACCTCTTTTATGTGTTCACAGTGTGACTCCATGTCCTGTGAATAGATTAGGATGTCATCAAGGTATACCACAATGCAGACATCGAGCGTGCCTGCAAAGATGCTATTAACAAATCACTGGAAAGCCACAGGTGCATTAGTCAGGCCAAATGGCATTACCTGCCACTTGTAAGAACCATAACGAGTGTGGAAAGCTGTTTTCCATTCATCTCCATCTGCAATGCAGACTAGATGATAGGCATGGTGGAGGTTGATCTTGGCATAGACTTTAGTGCAGCTTGGAGAGTTGAGTAGGTCAGAGATGAGCAGCAGCAGATAGTGATCTTTTTTCATTATTTTATTGAGTCCTCAATAGTCTATGCAGAGGCAGAGTGAACCATCCTTCTTCTTTATGAAGAGGACAGGGGCACTGTGAGTGGAGGTGGACTGCTTGATGAAACCATAGCCAAGATGCTTGTCAATAAAGGTGTGGAGAGCTTCAAGCTCTGGCAGAGACAGAGAGTAGATCATGCCAATGGGCAGAGAAGAAGTGGAGGACACATGAAGCTTCACATCATCAGTGGAGAGCTGCAAGCAGAACTGTCTAGAGCCAGGGAGAGCACAGGCTCTGATGTATGCAGCAGCATTGATGAGTGAGATGAGTGGAGTGGAGCACAGCAAGTCCCAAGCAAACATGTCATGTGATCATGAACCAGCAACCCTCACAGAGGCAATGTGTCGTCCTGATGCTGATCACTGGTATGCAGCCATGGCTGATGAACTCATGATGTTTAAAAATATAGGATTATATGAGGAGGTCCCTTGGCTGCCTGATCAAAAGATCATTGACTTGAAATGGGTCTACAAAATAAAATGAGGACTGACAGGTGAAATTGATAAATACAAGGAGTGACTTGTTGCAAAAGGATTCATGCAGGTGCATGGTATTGACTACATGGAGATGTTTGTGCCCATAGCCAAGTTCTCTACAATAAGAATTCTACTTGCCCTTGCTGCTAAGTACAATCTTGAAGTTCATCAGATGGACATGAAGTCTGCCTTTTTGAATGGCAAACTTGAGGAAGAAATTTATCTTCACCCCCCTCCAGGCTTTTGAGACTCCAGTGACATTGTCTGGCACCTTTATCATGTGCTCTACAGACTCAAACAAGCTCCAAAATCCTGGTATACAAGACTTCAAGAAGATTTTGAGTCACTTGGATTCATGCACAGTGACACAGACCATAGTCTATTCTTCAAGGTTGAAGACAGTGCCTTAATCATTGCAGCTGCATATGTCGGTGATAAATTAATCCTGTTGAAGAGCCACAAAGCCATCAAATGTCTAAAAACCCAACTGTCATCCAAGTATGACCTCTCAGACTTGGGAGAAGCTCATTGGATACTCAGGATGGAGATTATATGAGATCATGACAAGGGAATGATAGAACTCTCCCAACATCATTATATAGAGTTGATTCTTGAGTGCATAGGCATGCAGGATGGCTGGACAGTGTCTACACCCATCAAGCAAAACCTAAAACTTGAAAAACTTGATGCCCCTGCATGTGACCTTCAGTCATATCAATCAGCACTTGGTGTGCTGATGTATGCCATGTTGGCAACATGACCTGACCTCACTTTCACTGTAGGTGTACTCAGCAGGCATGCCACTACCCCTGGAGACTGACATTGGTCTGTGCTGAAGCAGGTCTACCAGTACCTATGCAAAACTTTGAGTGCATGTCTACAGTACACAAGGGACCCTAGTGGCTCCCTTGTTCATTATGCTGATGCAGACTGGGCCACAGATGTTAATGACTGTCACTCAGTCTCAGGCTATGTCTTTATCCTGTCCAGTGGAGCTGTAAGCTGGTCTTCAAAGAAACAGACCTCTGTAGCTCTGTCGAGCACAGAAGCTGAGTACATGGCTGTTTCAGCAGCTGGAAAGGAACTTCTGTGGGTTCACACCTTACTCCATGAACTAGCTGCAGTCAAGATTGTGCAACCAACCCCCCTCCTAGTCAACAATCAATCTGCAATAGCACTGACAGCTAATGCCATGTTTCATGATTGCACCAAGCACATATCAATCCATCATCATTTTATTCATGAAAAGGTGGAGAGTGGGGACTTTGCAGTCCAGTATGTGTCTACAAATGAGCAGGTGGCTGATGTCCTCACCAAGGGGCTATCATGCAAGAAGCATGAGCATTTCTCTTCTGGTATGGGTATTATTTTCTAAGTCTTGTTATGCTGAGGGGGTGTGTTGAAGTGTTGTCCCCTTTACCTGACTTTTGCTTACATCATACAAGCTTACATAATAAATCTTCGCACTTAGGATGTTTGTTTTTCCTTCAGGTGTACCTCAGACTTCTTCTAACTGAAGCCTGAGTCTCCTTCCTAGGTCCCTCATCTCAGCCTACCTTCAAAATGTAGTAGCCTACAGGTATATCTAATATATCAGTAGTTTGTTCACTACTGAGGTAGCCTACAGATATTTCTACAAAACTGATCCTCTCAAAGAGCCATGAGGCCATTGACCACCTCAAAGTCCAATTATCAGCCAAGAATGACCTCTCCAACTTAGGTGAGGCTCAGTGGATCCTTGGTATGGAGATTATATGAGATCACAACAAAGGAACCATAGAATTGTCTCAGCATTGCTATGTAGAGCTCATTCTTGAGCATATGGGCATGCAGGATAGCTGCACAGTGTCCACACCCATTGAGCAGAACTTAAAATTAGAGAAACTCAATGCTCCTGCCTATGACCTACATGCATATCAAAGTGCTCTTGGAGTGTTAATGCACACTATGCTGGCTACCTGGCCAGATCTTGCATTTGCTGTGGGCATGCTTAGCAGGCATGTGTCTACACCTGGCAACCAACACTGGACCATGCTCAAACAAGTTTACAGATACCTTCAAAAAACTGTTGATGTGCATTTACAGTACACAAGAGACTCTGCGAGCTCTCTTGTAGGCTATGCTGATGCTGACTGGGCCACAGATGCAAATGACTGCCATTCTGTAACTGGCTACATCTTTACTCTGTCCAGTGGAGCAGTTAGCTGGTCATCCAAGAAACAGACCTCTGTTGCTTTGTCTAACATGGAAGCTGAGTACATGGTGGTCTTGGCAGCTGCAAAAGAGATACTTTGGCTATGAATGCTACTACATGAACTAGATATGGATATGACCATGCAGCCCACTTCCCTCCCAGTCAACAATCAGTCTGCAATAGCCCTGACAAGCAATGCAATGTTCCATGACCACATGAAGCACATAGCTATTTGTCATCATTTTATCTGCAAGAAGGTTGAAGATGGAGAAGCAGACATCAAGTACATTCCTACAAATGAGCAGATCGCCAATGTTCTCACCAAGGGACTGTCATGCAAGAAGCATGAATGCTTTTCTCTTGGTATGGGAATTATTTTCTAAAGACTTGCTACACTGAGGGGATGTGTTGGAACATGTGTCCCCTATGTTTATTTGCTTACAGCATACAAGCTTACATAATAATTCTTTGCACTTAGGCAGTTAGTTTTTCCTTGTGCACCTCAGTCTTCTTACCACAGAAGCCTGAGACCTTCTTTATAGTCTTAATTTTGGCCTCCTCTTAAGAATCACCCTCTCTCACTATTGCATCCATACCTGGTGGTCCCCACATTAGCCTCCACACATGCATTGTTGCTATCACTGTGGCTTCAGGTATGTCTTCCAAGCAGCAGGGCAGAGCCACATGGGTTAGATGACAATATTTTGTTGCAACTATTCCCTAAGCCAATCTTGAATACTCCCATATCTCCATCCAAATGACAGTCATAAGTATTATCAGTGTGAAAATTCTGTCCTCTAAATCACTATGTTCAGTACACTCATCAACTCTGATGTGGGGGATCTGAACCAGAGTGTGTCCATCAACCTAACCCTCCTCTCAGGCAGATGGGAACATCATGTCCAACAGAATAGGTGGATATGGCCTGCATAACACTGTGACTCACATGGATACTTAACATCCAACACGTCCCGGCTCATCGCTGCAACTCCAATGCTAAAGTGGGTAGCAAAAGAGGCAAGCATATGAAGTGCGTAGCTATCCATTCCATGTAATTATGTAAATCATCCCAGTGTGATCAACTGCCACTGCCTGTTCTTGATCTGAAGCCAGTCCGCTTCGTCAACTGCAACTGTTCCCTCTCGGTATGCTACACCATCTTTCCACTCGATAGCCAGAAGGATCAGAGTTCTAACACCACGTGCCGCAACCACGATGAAGTCCTGGAGTACAATTTCGGAGCGATAATTGGCGGGCCCTTGGTCTGGTTGAAAATTTGGAGGTGGGGAAAGTGTGTATTCCACCCTACCCACCCGATGCGGTCCCTGGACTCTCCAGCGTCGAACAGCTCTTACATTCGCAAAACTGGTCCAGAAGTACAACTGGCCAATTTGGGAATGGGAACACTGTGTGAGAGATTGGAGCCGGTGAGGTTCCTGCTCCTGCCATAAAGGATGAACGCCATCATTTGGGTGGTCCTGCCATGGCCGTTCTTTAATCCTAATCAGCTGATGCTTTGAGTCCACTATGTTGAAATCAATTACAGGTCGCACAGGACCGCCATCTCCAGCATGGAGAAAAGGAGGATGGTTTGAGTCCCCCGACCATGCCGCCCAGCTCCAGGAAGGAACTGGGATCGTCTCTTTGAGGCCGTTGCTTCCGACGATGGGGACAAGAACATGGTTTCGTGTAGAATGACCGGTGAAATGCCATGTCATTGCATATGAAAAAAGTGATCCCGGAAGGCCCCAGAAGAATGTATCGTCCTGGAGTGCTGCAAGAATCTCGGAAACGCCATTAAACGCGTTCAGAATATCTGTTTGATAGCTCAAGCGCCGCTTTCGGTAACCGGAGAGCAGGTCAGCATAGAGATCGCCATACTCGGATGGCTGCAGAGGCTCCCAGGACAGACAGTCAGCGGCGACTTTCTGGGGGAATGAAAAGAGCCGCTGATCGATGTCCCGGACATCTTCTAGAGCTCGTTCTTCTGAGAACACTGCTGCACGACAACTCCAGTAAACTTGACTCTCCGAGAATACCAGCACCCGGTTGGACAAGATTCGTTCCTGGAATGTCCATGCCCGCTGTGCCCACGGTGTGTCGTCGAGCCCACCTGGTGTCTGACGGACATCAATGACCGTCAGGAGTTCACAGTTGGTGAACTTCAAAGCCTTCTGTACTTGTTCACGGGATCCCCGCCTGACACCTGGAAGGCCACTGTCTGCATTATCCCCAGAGGCGGCGATTATAGTAAACAGAGCTTTCGAATAAATTGATCCCATCCGCGTGATCTCCGCTTGCAGCATCTGCAAGTCATTTTGGATGATACAAAGTGAGTCTACCCATAGGTAGCGCTCTCCGATGGCGTGTACTAGGATAATGGCATCTTGAATTGTGGCGGGGATAGGCAATGAGTGTAAGGAACCTGTCTTCCGAAGATTTTGGGTGTTCTCTTCAAGGTGCTTGTAAACGGGAACTGTACCCCAGACATAACTTAAGGCAACATAGCGGCATTGCGAGGGAGTATACACGAGGCATGACTGGATCACGTCAATCACGAAGGTCGGCTCTCTAGCTTGTTCCACCGGAAGTGGCAAGGAAGGCCTGCAATCCCTCCCGTGCTTGTTTTCACACTGTTCGAGCCATGAGCGTATGAGCTGTGTATTTACTTGTACGGAAACGCATCTGCCGCCGATGGTGCCGAGAAATTCTTGTTCCGTTTGGGTGGATACCAGAGTTGGATTTCTTGCTTCGGCGTAGGATCTGGCCTTAGCCTTGATCTCACTGTTAAGCTTCAACTTGACAAGATACGGTTGTTGCTGACCTGCAAACAAAGAATGTAGTGGGTTCCTCGGGTATCTCTCGATTTGAGTTCCCAAGGGAGGGAAGGTCCCTGGAACAGATTCGCCTCGGACGTATCAAAAATCACGGAGGCCTGTGTAAGATGGAAATGCGTAACGCTGGGATCTTGCACCTCGACTGTCTTCGGCAACTTGAAATTGCAAAACTCTGAGATTTCCGTTATACGACATTCTCCACTGAGGTCTGAGGGCTCTTTATCCAGTCTTTCGGCGATGAGATGGCAAAGATCGCAACCTAAGCGCCGACTCTTGATTTCACCGACAGATCCAAGAGCGATATATGCTGGGTATCTGCCCACGTTTGGGGATGTTGAGCAGGGCAGCAGCTCGCGGCAGGGATGGGGGAGGTGCGTAATGCGTTGTATGTCCAGCTTTGAGCACATTTCACAAAGTTTTGCAAACTCGGAGGCCATGTGATCGATAGTTAGATCTTGTCTTGAAATTGCACCTGATGTGCGCTCTTCAGGCTTGCGGAGGGAGCACCAATGACATCGGTCCGACCTTTCCACAATCACAATATTCAGTTGCAACTATTCCCGAAGCCGAACTTGAATACCCCTCATATCTCCATCCAAACGGCAGTGGGTAAGAATTCGTTCCCCTACATAGTGGTCATTTTGTCGTCTACTTTTAGTGCTCGACCTCAAGTAAGTAGCCCATTATTGGAGACGATACACATTCTCAGCATCCCAAGAAGCCAGAACGTATTCAAACTGAGACCAGTTCTGGATTGGGTGGACGCCGTTTGTGTGAAGAACACTTAAAGTAGGTCCCCAGCGTCGTGGATGTGGAAGACCTTGCTCGCCATCTCTTCGACGTTCCGGTCACGCGTATGCAACTCCCTGAATAAGTGATGGCCGCTTGACGAGATCCTCATTGTGGAGCGGAGTTGCACTCCAGGTTTATAATGGCTGGGCTCGGGCCTCAGCTGCCTGAAACGACGATCTGAGGTAGATCCCATCATTCACAGGCGATCCGTACCTGGCCAATGCGGAAGGGTTTTCCGGCGTCGCAGGCCTTGGCCGATTATGTATTATGAACGCCCAGGGTTGTTTGCCATCATTCCAACCGTTTGCTCTACTCAGCATAAGTACCGTTATCAGCTGCACTGAAACTGCCAGTTGCTGGCTGCACAACTGCTTGGATTGAGATATGAATGTCATAACTCACCAGTTCAATGAGACTCCGCAGGCGAGATCGGCTGAGTGAGATACCGGATTGAACGTGGACGGCGGACATGGAGCCCTTGATGGCCTGGCACACATGTCCATACCGTTAAGTATTTATCACCCAGGGGTCCCGCGACAAAAGCACAAGCATGTGTACATAATATTAGTGCATAACGACAACGTCGTGCACCGCGGTTCTTCGTCGAATGCTTTGGCGGTTAGCTGGGTGCCTGAAGGAAAGTATACCGTTTTAGTGGTTGCTTCAACTATCCAGCTACGGCGTTCTGAGAGATTGGTCGCCTGATAGATGCTTATCGTCCTGGCAGCCGCGAGTTGAACCTGGCACCAGGCAGACACGTTGAACAAGGCTGTGATTAGTCGTCGTCAATGCCGTGCGGCACGTGACCTAGCTGATTGTCCTCCAATGGAGACCAAAGCGGAGGACAATTAATGGTTGGTTAATGGGCTGCCATGGGTTTCCTTGATACGCTGGGGATTCTAGCCAACATTCTGACGCTGTTCTAGTGTAGGACAGCCGTCTTTTGACGGACGGTGATGAACGTAGGAAATGCTTCTTACGGCGCGGAAGCCTACAAAAGCCGAATCCGGGCGTCATTGCCTCAAGGCAGCTTCCATTCGTGGCTGCCGACCCCCTTGCGTGCTCAGCAGCTGTCGTACAACGTTGTCGTCGTCCGGACCACGTTGGAAACGCGCGTACGTCTTATTCCTCCTTGTTATCAACCTTTCCGATCTTACTTTTCTTTTTGTTCTCTTGTCTCTCCCCAGCCGACGTCGCAATCACTTTTACATCGGGCGCATCCGCTAAAATCCCATGTCCAGTCAGTCTCCCCAACGAACAAGAAAGACGCTGATGTTTTCTGGTGCTCAAGGTTAGCTTTTTTCTTGCTTCTGATACTAGGTCCTTGCACTTCGCCACTGGACCACGATTCTCTGACGATCATTCGCGATTGCCGACGCAGTTTGTCGATAGTCCCACAGCGAATGTGATTTACGTTTTTCGTCACATCTGTCTGGCTATATACGTTCCTTCTCGTCTGGATTCATTCTTTACCCTTTACCCCATTCTCCCTACATCCATCTTCCTACATCCCTATTATAAAAGCGAAAACGGATCTTCCTGTGCATATTAGGTTCCGCAGCAAAATCAGTAGCTCACACTCGTCCTTTCTAGCCCCAGCTCAAAACTCTCCACCTCGTGAGATGTCTCCGTCCCCACGCGATAGGCAACGAGCACTGAAGTCGCAGTCGATGCCGATCGTTCCTTCTGTCATGCAACTCATGAGTGCTGCAAACGCGCAGCCCAACCAGCGGCAGTCTCAGCAGGGAAGCCCTGCATCCCTTAACATGTCACCCCAATCGAAGCGTTCAACGCCTCCACCCATGACACAACCTCCACAAGGCAACGTGTCAAAGCTCCCTTCTCCACCGGTTCAGCCTTCTCATATACGAGAAGACGTTGTGCAGGAGCATTACTCCCCTGGCCCCGCCCACGTACACAGTCAATCCCTGCCTGCCCCTCCTCCGCCAATGCATTCCATTAGCCAGCCGAACATTCATGCTCACGCCCAGGCGAACCCCCAGATGGGTTGTCCGCGACCCGTCAACAGGAATGCACCACAATTCCTGACTTCATATCATACTGTGGAGGAAAACTGGCAAATGACTGACGAACTCATGGCCGAGATTGAGCGTGCTGACTATGCGCAGGCCATGAGCCAACAACCACAACCTCCCGCTCCGGGAACGGTCGGCGTTGCGTACGCCGGCGGCGCACAAAGCGGTCCGGTTTACGTGCGCGAGGCACCATCCCCTTACAAGGATTCTGTGTTGGACAGGGTCAGAGGGAGCGGGCATAATAGCCCGAAAGATCTGGAAAATGGAAGGCGTCCGGTGCGCACAGAACGGGAACGTGATAGGGACGCTCAGCAAACAAATGAGAGCGTCCGAGTACGCGACCGACCGCTTCCTGCAAGTCCAGGGTCCTCTCAGATTCATCCACAGCCACGGAACTTGTCACCGGAACGCAAATCCCCGCCTTATCTCACCGCACAGAGTTCGTCAGGGGAGGGCCCGCCCACGAATGATTACGGCTCCTTCAAACGCGAGCCGTATCAGCCACCGCATACGCGCATTCCTACTCCGCCGCCTACCGTGCGCAAACCTTCAGGTGCGCCGGTTACTAGTGATGTGAGGACGACTCCACCAGCTGCGAGCAAGTTGGCCAGCCAAACACCACCCTTACAAGCCATGAAGACCCGTACTCCCGATAAATCACTACCCGTTCAAGAAGAACAGGAAGACGATGTTGCTTTGAAGAAGAGCACTGGTCACCTTCAGTATGATCACGGAAGTGATCCTCACAGAGATGATGACGACGACGACACATTAATTGAAAATGATCACGAGTATGCGCATAATGACAATGACGAGGATGGGGGTTCTGGGTCTTATACGCCGAGGTCGCCGAGTGCTAACCTTCCTGAGCCACATTACATGCATCCCGTTAACCAACGGGTGGCTAGCATTGCCAAGCACCATCGAAATGGCTCCACAGACCAACTTGGTTTGCAGAGTTTTGATGCGATCGTCAACCAAAGAGTGCCTGTTAGGACAGCAGTAGAGCCTCGTGAGTACTGTGGTCATGGTAAACGCGTGCAGACTTACTGGTATATGCTCGTACAGAACCTCCTTCGCGTCCTGAGCAAAACCGTGTGTTTAACGAGGCCAGGGACAACCGCGATCAGCGCAATGTAGAAGTCTCTCAACAGGTGCAACAAAATTTCAACCATAACCACAGATCGCATACCTTGCACACACAAGTTCACGTGGACGACCAGCATTACGACGACCCTGCAGCAACATATCTGCAAACGTATTTCCAGTCGGTCAGACCAAATGCACCCATCCCTCCGACGCCACACAGCCAGACTGCCGCACCATCTCCGTCGCCGCTAATCTCCAGCATTCAACCCAGTCCAGCTCCGGTTGGGTCTCCATACCCGTTCCCTTTTTCGCATGTCCGACGAAATGTTGCCTACGCGCCGCCAACGGCACCATCAACCACATACGACCCGGCCTCTATCGAGGAACAAATTGCACTTCAAATGCAGATGTATGCGCTCAATAATCACGCTGTTCTCTCGGACTCTACATTTTCGCCGTCGTCGACGCCGTTCCCAAGATCAGGATATAACCCATGGACTTTCTTGCAGTCGACTCGTGCATTTGGTGGTACGCGTCACCGCTTTGACTCGATGAGCATGCGCTCTAGTCCAAGTCATCAACCGGTAAACCTTCCGGCCCGATCTTCCCGAGGGCGAGGTCTCAAGCGGCGCGAGAAATCGGTCAATTTGCGTAAGGCGGTCACGAGTGAGAATGCAAGCCGGGACAAGGTCCAGCCGCCTCCTCGCGTAGAGAGTACGCAGCCAAGGGACACCAGCCCTGAACCGTGCTCATCCGGGGAGGAGACTGCAGGAGAGGAGCGGTACGATGTCCATGAGGAGGTAGCGTGGGTTAGCGATGACACGGATGTTGATGGGGAGTGGGTGGATGAGGGCGAGGATGACAGGGAGTTGATTTATCTGGAGTATCACCCGACATATATTTCTAATTTCGACAAGCGGCGGCGGAGGTGGGAGGCGCGATGGGAAGCACTGCAGCAAGCGGTAAGTTGAATACGTATTCTTCGTGTGGTTGACACTCACGATTATGCTCGACCAGTTCCAGGCACTCGATTTTGAGACAGATACCACTATGGTGTTGCTTGCTGCGCCGTCTCATTCTAACAAGCTCCATTCGCTTACTTCGCGTTTCGTTCGACGGGAGCAACTTGACAAGTCGCCAGCCATGGCCACCGTCCGTACAGCATTTAAGGGTATCGCGAGCCGCCGGCGTGCTGCGCGCACACGGAACACGTCTCTCATCCAGCAGCTAGCAAACGCCAGTACCACATCAGGCGACGGACCCGATGGAAACTCCGATGCCCGAGAGGGTGAACTAAAGCGGGCTCTCGGGACTGCGCTGGTAAGTCTAGACGAACTGCGGACGATCTACGAGCAGCGCGTAGCGCGGTGGGAGCACGAGATGGAGCGTATTGTCGACGAACGGGACCATGTTGATCTACTGCTCCGCCAGACCCTCGGGGTGAGCTCGCAGCAGAACGGTACGGGGCATGGATGATTGAGTCCAATTCCGCAGAATACTCTGTGGAACGAGAACTTGAAGCGGACATTCTGCGTGGACTTTTGTGACGCGAAGTTGGGTTATTTAGTATGCGAGGATGCGTTTACCTATGCGATCATTGTCATTAGACACGCACGTACATACTACACATGCCCGATGTACATATGCCTCATGTATGTATGTCTTTATGCGTTCCCGAGCATAATCACGGCTGTCCTCGTACGATTCTCTCGTGAATATATTTACACAAATATCGACACAACCTGTGCGTAAAATCCGGCCAATACTTATCTTCATTCTCCTTCCAGCAGCGTCGTTCTCTGAGACTCCTAACCAGTTCATCAAACCCGTTTAAGTGGCACATTGACAGAATGAACCGTTATCCTCTCCAAACCACGCCTTTGTTTGCAAGATAACCATCGGTCGTAAACTCCACACCTTCGTTGGTAAGCATATGAATCTTCGCGCTGCATCGACTGGCCCCCCATTCGCCAAAGAATCCACCCACGTAACAATTAGATGCGATGACCCTATGGCACGGTACGGAGGGTGCAAAAGGGTTGTTCCGAAGAGCAGCTCCTACTACGGAAGGGCGTTTTATGTGAGAGGTTGGCCCCATCCAGCGAACTGCGGCACGCACCGGACCGGGGGGATCCTCGGCCAATAGCAGTACAAACGTCCTTGTACGTTGTTACCCGCCCACAGGGTACCTTTCTCGTGAAATCGTACACTGCCCATTGGAACGCCGTCAGCTTCTAATGACATGATCCACGTTAGCGACGAGACTCGTAGATGCGTGGATACCGGGGGGCGGGGATGTACTTTGCCTTGCTTGGTCCTGAAAGTGGCTCTGCGAGCCTGTTCCGTCGGATAATCTGGACTCGTATCTATAAATGTCGGTGGGCGAGGTCTGTTTGAACGCGGCTGCGACAACTTTTGCCCATCCACCGAGGAGAGGCCGAGTTTCTCCCTGACCGCAGGCATGGTCGCTGAATCCGAAATGGAGTGGTGATTACCTAATCCTCAACCTGGTCACCGTTGCACATGTCGCTAGGCAGACAGAAGGCAGCTTATCGCCTCTGACCTGAGCTCGACTTGTTACCCTTCGATGACGATGACATCGTCCAAAGGCATGTCCCCCGTCGCCACACGATGAACCCAATGGCTTAGCTTATCCTTTGCAGAGACCCCATTTCCATCGCCAGGCTCGTCTTTCCTGCCTCCCCCCATCCCAGTTGCACACGAATTTGCACTATTAAGAAAACATTCCAAAGATGGAGATCTGCACCAAGACGACCCCGGCCACATTCCCAATATCAGGCCTAGTGCCAGTCCCCCAGCTGACGACGTCGACCCTCCCAATGGAGTGGTAAGTCCTATACGTGTATTGACTCTTGTTCGCTCGTTCCTACCCCGCTTCATCGTCTCCTTACTCAACATCCCAACATCGCTCTTGCGCATGCCATCCTTTCAGGATTTACCCCAAAACTCGCCACACACTCCATCCGAGGAACCGCCGACGACACTCCCGTCCTCAGGCTTCGCACCGACCCCGACCTCCTGCCAATCCATTCACGACGTCCACAGATTAAGCACGCATTCCACGACTTCTCTCACATCGTCCCGTCCAGCTCCACCTTCTCCAGTTATATCCCGTCGTGCTTCGGGTCGTCTCTCTCGCTCTTCCTCGACAGGGCGTTCCCGTCCGCCATCTGGTACCACAACATCGAGACCTCCCTCAACAAGCATGGGACCCTCCTCTCTCTCACCTTCTACTACCACGTCCCTCTCACGCAACCCAAGTGGTCGTCGACCAAAAGACATCTCAAACACCCCCATGTCCTGCTGTCACAGAATCCGTGACCGAGCTCGATGCCAATGAAACCATCGATGCGCCCACCTCCTGCATCATCAAAGATGACCTCGACACGCCCCTCTCCTACCCATCATCCCAGCCCCGATCTCTGACTACACCGACTCCCCATCTCATCTGTATCCGTGACTACGCATTTCCCTCCACTGACGTCCGCTTCTCAGGCAATGGCCCGCATGTACCGCGCCCAAACCGACCACGCGTTCTAGCCCGTAAACTCCGCAAACGCACACATTCCTCCACGTCTACTGCGTCCACAACTTCGTCTACGACTACAACCACCACTAGCAGTGAGAATGGAGATGGCGGGAACGATGATGACGATAGTTGGGGAAACCAAAATGGGTGGGGAGCGTTCAGATGGGGATGGGGTATACCCCCCCGTATGGGTATGAGCAGCCGTAATGCCTCCGACATTACAAGCCCCGACGTACCCAGCCGATCTGACCTAGATCGCAACTTCGAAGCTGACTCGGATTCGGATGCTGAGTACCTCGATGTCGAGGAAGACTTTCCCGCCGATTCCGCAGATCTTTCTTTCTCACAAGCCGACGAGGACGAGGACGAGGACCTCGCTGGGGATGACCTCCTGCCAGGTCTCTATCGCGCGCTCTATCCCTTTGAACCCGAAGGCACAGCCGAAATGCGATTGGAAGAAGACCAGGTTGTACGTGTTCTCGGGCGAGGTGGAGGTGTAGGCTGGGCAGTCGTCGTCAAGGACGGACTCAAAGATGCTGGGCTGCACGCACTGGTTCCAGAGAGCTACTTGGAGGTATTGAAATTGGATTGTGAGGGCGAGGATGACGTTGACCCTAATGTCGACTACGAGACAGAGGGCAGAAAGATGCATGACACCTGAACACACCACCTGCGTCTAGGTAGCCATCCGCTTGCGCAGGCGTAGTGGGACGACGCGACGATTCACTAGCACTACAGGTTACTGCCAGTTCTCTGTTTTCCCATCGACTCTGTTCTGTCTCGTTATAGTGTTGTTAGTGTCATTTGTACACTTGTTTGTACCTGTTGGTGTCTTTTTTATCAATACATTCACACACATTTCTTTTACTTTAAGTAGCTGTCAAGGGTTGGAATGCTGTCAATCAGGCGTTTGGCGCATCAGGGCAAAGCGGCTGGGCAGCTGAGGGGGGGGGGGGAGACAGGCAAGTGGAGGGAACTCATACAATGGATAAGAGACCGCTCACAACCCTGAGGATTATCCCCGGCGTATTCGGTTCTGTCTTGCAGCGCCGGAACGGTGTCATACCAACGCAAATCGCTATAGTGAAACCACCCCCTGAACTGCGCCATACGAACATCGCATTAGTGAGCTTGGCATAATGTAGAGGGTTTATAGTTTGGGATGGATGAAGTAGCACTGCACGTTTAGTATGGCCTGCCCCTTTCGTCAATCGGAAGAAACGATTTTTTAGTGATCAGATATACATACTTACAATATCACCATTTGTTTACTCAGTACTGCTTGACATCAAATAAATGGGGACGGGATGTTTCATTGAGTCTCTGTCATCATTCATGGCTGTGGTCAGTACTCGTACCCTGAAAATACGGGGAATACCTCTTGCCCAGATCGTACTCACGATACACGGGACTCGTGTCCTCGCTGACACATGATTTGGGTGTCAGTCTTTTGGGTCCCTGCAGCTTGGCGTTCCTGGCAAGTGAACCAAAATACCTGGTGCCACTGAATTCTCTACAGATGACTTCATGCACGGCTTCTGAAAGAAACGCGAAATAGAGGAATGGCAGTCTTCGCAAATGTTCCACATCCTATTATGGTCATGAGCTCAAATGCGTCTTTACTAGCATGGTGTCTAGAATAGTGTCAGAGATGCCTTTGGCCAATACGAAGGGACTGCCGGGGGATGATCATGGCACCAGTCCACACACTTGGGAGAGAAATGCGTGGTTAATGCAGGAGTTTTTTTATCAAGGAAACAGAAAAACCTGGGAGGTCGGGGGCGGATATCAACGGAAGTGAAACTAGTAGTGGTGGATGCACCCAGCCGTCCTAAACGTCCTGTTGTACGACCACACCTTTACCACGCACGAGAACCCCGGGGGGAGGCTACATAGACTGATATGGGCTGTGCCGCACTGCTCCATGATAGGATGCATCACGCAGCAGTCACGTCGAGACCATCCGACAATGAAGGCAATGAGTGCATGAGGGTATCCCCAAGTTGCAATAATTTTTTTCACAGTGGAATCAACAGTTAATGGAAAAATGATGCGCAGGAAGGGTCCTCGATTCTGAGCGATTCTGCCTTGTTTACGCGTTGCAGCAAGAGGTGCAGCTATTCATACTACATGACCGTTCGGAGATCTCATTTGACGAAGCTCTGGGAGCCATGCAGGGGACGTCAGCGTAACTTTTTGAATCATCCTCTGTTTGTGGGGTGAACCTAATACGCTCAGTACCTGCACAAAGTTAGAGCGCACCAGCATGGCACAGGCACAAATCCCACAGCTTGTCAACTCCTGCGTGCCTATTCGTCATTTATATAACCTTTTGTCACTAACTATAATCCGGGAAACAGTGATTCAAGTTACGTTCGCACCGAATGGTGCCGGTGGGCTCTGAAGATCTGATTGGTGGTCCCGAGAGACTCGGAGACCTGCCAAGCGGTTTCCAAATGGGTGTGTGGCAATGATAATCGTTCGAGTACCAGTTGAGCGGCTAGGTTTCACTCTGCTATTCAAGACCCGCTAGTAAGCCCAAATGAGTTGGTCTGATCGCTGAGGGTGTTGGGTGACAACGACACGCATCGATAAGTTGGTTCGGAAGCTTTCCGTGACACAGCCACTGGCATTTTCAAATCTTATCAGACAGATCGGAATGCAAGTCAAACTGTACAGTACTTACACCAGCAACATGACCTCCAAGGACGGTATGTCTACATTTTAGGGAGCACTGAGTACTGAAGTCTGAAGACTCGATTCAGTGCTCATCGGCTGTCATCGGCGGGACCGGTCTGTATCATTTGGATAACCTTACTCTTATGTGAGCGCGATGTTTTTGCCCATCACGCATGCCCCGTACTCATCACATGTAGCGAGACAGTGAACCCAGAGACGGTAAGTGTTTCATCACCGATCGATTTCCTCAAGCGCTGCGCCCAACGACGTTCCACATAGCCATGGGGATATCCCTCCTCGCCGATTGCCATCTGCTCCCTGAAATCTGGCACTAAAGTTGCCTTCGTAGCTCGTCATGGAAGGCATCACAATATCTCCCCTTCTGTAGTCCCATCCCGCGCTAACATTGCTGCGCTGAAATCCCTGGGCGTCCGGGCTATCCTTGCATTTAGCTCTGTCGGATCACTCCGGGAAGAGATTGTACCAGGACATTTTGCGATTCCCACTCAAATAATCGACAGGACCAAAGGTATCCGTCCTGCTAGTTTCTTTGAAGGAACTGCCGTTGTGGCACATGCGACGTTTGGCGAACCCTTCAGCTTGAAGCTTGTTCGTTGGCTCGAAGTCGAAGTGGGAAAGGCACTGAAAGCGCATGGGAATGGCGTCGTTCTGCACAAGGATAAATGTATTATTTGCATGGAAGGCCCTCAGTTCTCCACTCGCGCCGAGAGTATGATGTACAGAAGTTGGGGAGGGGACTTGATCAACATGAGTGTCCTTCCAGAAGCAAAGCTGGCACGCGAGGCGGAGATCAGGTAAGGGCTGAGGTCACAAATACTGAGCTTATGAACCTGACTCGTTCGTCTCACAAAGCTACGCTCTGATCGCTACTGCCACCGACTACGATTCCTGGCGTCCACATTCGGAGGTAGTGACGGCTACGCAGGTCGTCCAGACCCTCCGGGCGAACGCTGATACAGCAAAATTTGTTGCAGCCTCCATCCTAGAAGATTTACACGTAGCAGCACTACAGGGTGATATACTCAGCGAAGAGACGGGGAGCATGAAGTATTCTATAATGCCGACGCACACCGAAGAGAGTGAGGAGGATACCAAGAAGCTGGCGTTCATCCTTCCAGAGTACTTTCGATCCAACGAATTGGCGAATTAAGGACTGCGGGCGTTGTATATTGTGAAAAAATAGTCGTGTAATTATTATGCATATTCTGGATCGCCTAACGAGAGGCGTAGGAAATGCCGGTATGTTGAAACAACGGTTTTCACTGTTCCAAAGTCACGGGCTCACCGACTTGCGAAGTTCCCGGAAAAACAAGCCACGGTCGCGGTCTCTACGGAGCACTTTTGTGGATAAAGTTCTGGCGTGTTTGACGGTACCAATCTTGGTCAATTCTGCGTCTCAATTTCACGGAAGGGCGGACAGTCAAGAACTGCAATACAAATACAGTAGAAAAGGTCGTAATACATACGATTGGGACCGCCAAAATCCAGTGCATTATGAGAATTTTGCACTATCAGTATGCAATTTATCTGTTGGGAAATGATACCTGATCAAATTTTCCCTCAAAACGTTGTGCATTATGTGCTATGATATATGCATTATAACCTTTTCAACTGTATAAGAAAAGTTCGATCCTGGTATTATTCGGGGCCGGTCCTGACCGCACGTAGCAACTTGTCGGTGTATATCATTAGGAGAAAAAAGCTGATACGGAGTCCCACCAAACCCTCGTTTGGAATGAGCAGGGGGGTAATCTGAAGTGCATGAAAGGTTGAGAAGGTTTGACCGGAGCTTGGAATTACATAACGCATACTAGTACGCTTGAACCCCATCCCATCACCCCTCCTCGCACTGCAAAGATGTAGTAACGACTTCGAAGGCGGAGCAACCATCGGGAGTGACGTCCTCTACGTAGGAATTCTATGTAGTGATTGAACGCTTGATGGCCATCACCGGCTGATCCTGATACCCCATTGAATATCGCCGTCCTCATAATTGGCCGACAGAGATCGAGACCAAGCGTTCAAAGGACTCTCTTATCACAGGTCTGCTTGTAAAATGTAGCATGCCATCAGGATTACCGCGAGGCAAACACTCACGGAGGTTTCCACTAATTTGCATGCGGGTCAGTTCTGCTGATGTTTCATCCCCACGGAAGACAGAAGTTTCCGACCACACCTGATTGCTCAGGCATTTAAACTGGAATCCGTCGTGAGCGGAACGAGGCGGGGAAATCCTAAGTTCAGGAACTCTGCATTGTGATGTGTTAATCCCATTCAGTCCCAGTGCGGTCTAAACGAAGTTGCCGATCGGGATCCTTTCGTGCAGCCGGTCGGTGTGCTTTTGTTCCAAATGATATTCCTCGTTTCCATGTGCTGGGCTGCGGGTCTGTTACTTAGTACACCTCGCATTCCATTTTTACATCGATGCTATGCTCTCATCTCTCCCTCCTTGAGGTTTCATTAATCATTGCTGTCACTTTGGGATCAGATAGGCGCTCGAGGCCACATGCAGTCCTCAAATCCTGCGAACGCGCCTATTAGCTACAGCGATCTCCGCCGTCCTAAATACAAGAAATGAATGATAGTATCAACAGGCGAGCGCTCGATCTGGCAGTGCAAGCACATGCTCAAGAAACAGGAATAATCATGTGGGCCTAAGTATATTACCAATAGGGTCTTACGAGTACTTATCGCTGCCATATTCGGCTGTTTTGATGAGTTTTCCGACGATCGTGATTTGTCGGATGCGCCGGTGCACAGATAATCCAGACTCCAGCTTGCTCGGATCCGGGGTTGTACTGGAGCCCCATCGGCTTACCACTATCTGCGATAGCCACAGTACCTTACGTGCCTACGCACTATTTCTTTCATTCTCCTCGTCCGACCTGGCAACGTCACGTAAAGAAGCGTTGACTCTTGGGCGCTCCTGACCTTCGATCCTCTCGTCCGGTATATGACCGCCGCCTTACTCATCGACTCATAGCCATCCGCGCTCGTGGAACCACAGTTGTGATGGCATTTCATAAATCCGCTGACATTTAACAGCGTTGGCAAGGCAATTAGGGAAAGTCCTATGTGGAAGACTTGCACTGGAATGCTACATACTGCGATCTATACACGACGAAGGGCAGATGATGATCAAATGGCAAAAATGGTCCCCGCCGTTCGAGGAATCGAAAATGGGCAGATTGTGTGAGTCAGGGCTGTCCAGGGCTGTCCAATGTCCAAGTACAATCAGCTGTTGCCAACAACTTGCTAGCTCGGAAATTCGACCTCGGGTTTGGAAATCACGGGCAAGTTGATGTTTGGTGTTCGCGCATCGCAGACGTCCTAAGTAAGCGAATCCGCGTTCCATCGAGTCGCTGATTAGTGGCCAAAATGAATCTGACAGCATTTCCCCGGGTTGCTTGAATCGTGGTTGCTGTTTCCTGAGATGTGGTACAGTTACGCTACCTTGAGTCCGGCTTATCAACCTCCATCATGGGTGTCGTACACCAACCGTCGGCGTCGTCGGAGGTGCCGTCGGCTCCGCAGATCGCGATGGCACATCAGGGAGCGGACTAGCGGTACCACCGGTGGTGGAACTGTCGATCGCATCCTGCATTTCTGTGATATCGACATTTCGCATACCATGCTTGACGCATCGTACCGCGAGGCATGGCTTCCTAGGCCGCTTTGGGCGTGGGCGTGGGATGCGTGAGAGGTAGGAGATAACACGCGGCTGGCATGAATAGAACAATTATTTCACAAGCTAGAGAAGCGTTATTTGCGGTATCTAAAGTAATCAGGACTAGATAGACGCACGAACCTGTGCTGGTGGTAATGGAGAGCTGTCCATATCGGGATACGCACGTAATGTAGGTCCGGTGTATTTGTTCAAAATGCGGCAACCTGGGCGATCTTCGCCCGGCATGCGGCAGAGAGCGCCTAGTCGGCTTTGCACTCAAATAGGTGGGGGTTCTTCGGAAGTGACTTCAGTGAAATGTGAGTGTTCATCATAAACTCTAACCACGTTTCAGAGTATATTTTGTGCATTGCGGAAAGTGGTTAAGAGAACAACACGGTCGTACGCAGGCGTGCAGTATCACGGGGAAAACCGAATGAAAGTATGCACGGCCTGTTCCGACGCGCTAGACTCGTTGCAGGCTTCGACAGCGACTGCGGGTGGCATTGGAGTGAGTTGACTTTGATAGATAGATATGCAGAGTGGTGAGAAGCTCACTTTGAGACTTTGATAGGCATGTAGATTTGCTGTGGAGGATGAGCTGCGGAGTCCCAGTTCTCAGATCAACATATAAATGATGGGGATGCCCCCATGAGTAACGACAGGACGGAGCATGATCTTGCAAGTGCTGTGTCATCAAGAACAGGCAACGTATCCATGACTGTTGATTGGACGGGTTTGTGTGTCGTGAAGATGGGTCTATCGTCAACTAGGGATGATCTAGTCAAAGAAGGCATTCAAAGTGCCATGAGGGATATGGATATGGCAGGGGGGAATTTGGTTCGTACCGAGCAGTAGCCAAGAAGGAGTGAATGGATTCCTAACTGATGGCGACAGCGTTTATATCCACGGAGGCAGTAGATGGAGCGTAAAGCATAACGCCTCGGGAGGAAGCCCAAAGCAATGTAAGAAAGAACGTAAAAAAAGCGGCAAGGTCAGCCACCGATGGGAGGACGGGTCTCCGGTACGACGGCAACCAGTTCATTGTCGACTTATGATGGACCTGCGGTGGATGGATCTATTACTGGTCGTGGCAGTGGCACCAGGCGCGAGGGCCGCTGGACCGATCTCCTGTTTCCTGACTACTCATCCGCCCGGGCATAGGAGAAAGAGTCGTGAAAGGGTAGAGACGAAAAGGAACAGATACCTTGTACCCAAATACGGATACGATCTGCCTAATCGGAGGGGACGAGAAGATCGGCGGATATGTAAGAACTCGTGACAAGAAAAGAAAAGGAGGGAAAAGGGGGAGTCACAAACCTAAAAGGCAAGGGGATCAACGCCATTCCGGAAAAGGAAAGAATGACTGCGGTGCGTGGTCGAGATATATCTTATTACGCAAGGTTGAGCGGCCGCCGGGTCCAAATCGGGGATAGGCACTTCTGAACGAGAATGATTTTCAGGTCAGGGGAATACTCGGCAGGACAGCAAGCAATCTGCTGCCGAGAGGGGGGTCAGCCAATCCGGGGAGGGGTCGCGTACAGCACATGCAAGCTAAGACGTTTATCCGCTATGTAGCCCTGAACCTGCCGGCAGACTGACATCCAAGGCCTGGTTGCGGGGCCTTATGGAGCGAACCGAGGTGGACAACGTGTTCTGCTGACGTGATGCGCAAGGATTTGCTCTGGCGGGCGGACATCAGTCCCAACGGGTGTAATTTGGACAGCCCAGTTCCATTCCTGGAAGGACGAGCGGGATCTCAATACTAACCAAGCTGCCGTGCGATCCCATCCATTTCAAGCAATTCTTACTTGGGTATATATAAAAAGCAGCCACCATCCCCCTCACAACACCCCCACCCCATCCTATCCCATCCCTCTGCTTCTCCTCTCCCCTCCTCACTGCTAAATCGCTCCCACATGGCTCGTCCTGTCGTGCCTCTTCCCAGCATACGGGACATATTCCCAGGTGCGTCCTTGTAGAGCGATCGTCCGCATCGCCGAACAGGGGCAAATCTATTTTCCATTAGAAATGTCCATCCCTTCTAATCCATTGCATCCACCTTCAAACCTCCGGGCATCTTCCGCCAACTCTTCCGTGCGTACCGTTTCTCTTATTTTGGCGCCTCTTTCAGACCCTGATCTCTGCTTGGCATCTGCCCGCACAGGACCTTCTGGCTACTCATCCTATCTCTCCAACAAGTGGGCGACCCGCAAATTCACCAGACGCCCGCCATCCTAACGCCGCCATCTCGTTCCAACATCCCCAAGTACACTCTTCATCCCCATCCATCAGCCCGAATGAAGTTGCCGCCCGTCCATCGCAACTCCTCGAGCCACACTCACATCCGTCTCCACGCCACATGAATCCACCCAAGTGTCCTCCGAGTTATTCATTCAACGTGCTGCGCGCAGATCCCGTTACGGCATCCCTAGAGCACGTTGCATCCAGCACCACACTTCGTCATCGCGGCGTAACAGGTAATTCTCCTACGGCACAGACAGGTGCAGGCGTCACCAATGGATCTGCACCTGCTTTCCGTGTGGCAATGGCACCCATGGATCAGCGTCCCTCCCATCGCCACAAGCTACCCATGCAACCTATCATAAGAAGCACAAGAAATCCACCCAGTCCAACCAGTCCCCGAGATCCAGACCTTCTCCTCCACATACGTCCTCACCACTCTTCCTCCGTGTTGTCCTTTTCTGTCTCAGACCCCCCTAGTTCCGCTTCCACGATCATGAGTCATGACGGGCGTAGATCATACCTTCGGTCTTCTGAAATCATGACAGCACCTCTCTCAGGAGAAGGCCGAGGGAAAAAACATCAATGTCCTCACTGTGGGAAGCGCTTCAATCGTCCCAGTAGCATGAAAATTCATGTCAATACCCACACGGGTGCCAAACGTGCGTACTTCCTAGACTTTTTTCACACCTCTTGGGCTTTCCGCTGCTCTCTTATGAGGCCTACCCTGTTCACATCCAGCGATATATGACCCTCTGCTTTTGATTTTTATGATCATCTCCGAATCGCCAATCAGGGCTGATGGCACTTCGACAGCATATCGGTGTCCCTTTCCCGGCTGTGGCAGGGAATTTAACGTTAACTCGAATATGCGTCGTCATTGGCGAAACCATTCGAGGAGCGGGGCGGGAGGCTTAACCGATGGCGGTGATATACCATTTGATGCTTATTCCCACACCGCGGTATACCAAACAGGTCAGCCTCGGACACTACAAGGTGGGTCGGGTACACATCCTTCTTTGATGTCTCCGCCAGCAACGAACTCGAGCTTGAGTGAGTCAGAGGAAGACGATGAGGAAAGCGACTCGGATGAGGAGGGCTCACCGCCTGTCACGGATGGTGATGGTGATGTTGTTATGAGTGGACACAGTCGCAGGCGTCATAGTATTGCTGGAGAGGCTCGCTTTGCTGTGCCTGGCATTCCAAACTGGGAACGACCGGTCTCCTCGGAGGTTACTCCTGTATCCACTAGGGCCGCACATGGTCCCTCGTCCCACCCTTCCGCCGCACACGCCAAATCCCCCCCTCACTCTTCGGCACATGCCCTCCATGAAAGTCCTGGCTCGCAGTCAGAATTCATTTACAAGCCATCATTGCCAGCGTATGCGTTGTCGTGTACAGACACGCGGGTATCTACCGTCTTGAGGCCTGCCTTCACGCAGAGTGTTGGCCGTTGGGCCATCCCAACAGACACGCGCGTGCGTGGAGGATGATCATCTTAACCGACAGCAGCGCAGTCATTACGCCGTCAATGACGCGTTGACCCCACAAATGACACAGCGGATTCTCCATCATCTTTTCCCTTCTGGTTAAGGACATCATCCATTCTCTTCACGAACACAACGCATGTTCTCATGACTAGAATTGTATGTCTGCTACTCCCATATCTTGTTTCGCGTCCAGCAGGCTACGCCCATGTACTACTGTATACGTACTCATTTAAATTACTTAATCTAAACACTATGTAGTTCTACATACACACCATGCATACATACCTATATCTATATCCATTGATCGAGTGTGCGTGCACAGGTATACTTTTCATTCATTCATTAGCTTGTGTATGCGATCCGCAATGCTGTCAGCAGGCGACAATCCTGCACAGCTCTTATGACGCATGCATGCAACCGTCCCCGACGCAATGTTGAAACCACGTACCACATACCAGGTGATGGTGGCCAGCGACAGCCCCGTGTTGGCGGTGGTTTGATGGGTAGTATGGGTGCTTTTTCAATAAGTGACTATGAATCGTTCGCAGTCCCCGTCATTAGACGTCAGACAGCCAAGCTGGTGGATATGGAAAGTGCTTCATTGCAAGTGCCATTTCCCAAGGGGGATATCCGTGTTTTCTACCTGCCGCGGAGCCGCCGTGTTCAAATCAGATGGACAAAGACCCATCAACCTACTACCGTATCCACAAAGCCCTCCGGCACTAAAGCCTACCACCATACTACAAGCGCAAAGAGGACAGCTGCCGCTTGTCGTTATTATTGACCGTCAGAGAGCTCTCCTTGGGCGTGGTGCTAGTCTCCGACTCTCCGTGGATCAAACGCCTCGTGTTGAAGCAGATCGAAGCGTGGTCGGCTGCCTGCAGGGAAGAAGCCTTCTTCGTATTCCCGGAAAATTGGAACCAGCCTGATCAGCTGCAGCAGGAGTAAGGATGCTTGGAACGACTCCTTGAGGCCGGTAAGCCATGACGCCACGGCAGCGCCACTGGTAGGATTCCCGCACTTGGCGACAGGGGAGCAAGTGCCAAGGTCTGCTCCTTTCCCCGTGTTTGGTCGGCGACTCTTGGCGTGATGTGAGTTTCTCATGGGCTGCAGTGAGACGTACATGAGCTTCAGAAGCTGTGGAGAACCAGGGCCTCCCGAGGATCATGCCAATGGTGTTGACATATGTAGAAGGGTCTGTCCGTTCATAGCGGCACACTGACCGCCATCTACGATCAAAATCCTCAGCCCTCCAGTAGTCGCGGCGCTGCGAGATGGGTGGATCTTGCATCAATTTTGAGTACTTGGCAGGGTCGGTATGTATGGCCAACCGGATGGAGGTTGCCATTCCACGTATATACATACTCCTATATTCGCACCGACATGCACGTCCCGCAAAGTCAGCTTCGCACGCAACGGATTCCAGTATGTAAGTATGTACAAAGTTATAACAGTACACTGTTACATTCGGCGCTGGGCGGTAGGCTTTGTCGAAATCCGCGGACTCCTGAGCACGGTGTGTGATAGCATCGATAACGGACGAAGCTTGTGATGGTGGGTGAATCCAGGTCACTAAAAATCCCAGGACAAATCCACAGATAAGAGTCCATCCCATTCATCCCATCGCACCAAGGAACATCCATGCACAAGCGGTTATACCAACGAGATCTGCCCGCGCACCTGCGCACCGTGTACCCATTCATTCATCCAAAACGTAAACACCCCATGAAGCAGCGACTACCACTGGGCTGTCCGGACCACTGGTGTCTGGTCCTCGTCCATGAATCCAAGGACATCATCGAACTGCTCTGCTTCATCGACGGCGCGTTTGTCTTCTTCTGCCCAATCCCAACCCCTCCCATCACCATCACTTCCGAACCCACCCTCATCCAAATCGCCATCCACAGCCCTACCTATACCACCATCATGCGTTGACGGAGTAGGGAAGGGATACCCCAGTAAAACCCGATATGCCTGATCCTTCGGATGCACCCTCGAGATCCACTCCAAGATGCCTTCTCCCATCATGTTCTTTCGGAGAGCGGACCCGATGCATCTCCCGGCGTAACCGGTCTAAGCCTTCGCCAACACCCTCCTTGAGCGACTTGATCGGTAATGCTGTTGCACCAAAGGATCGCAGACGACCTGCCGTGCCGTTCGGAAACATTGGGATACTCGGTACGCCAGATGGCCCATCAAGTCCTGACGCAATTGCGTTGGCGAGAGGCTCGTCAAATGAAGACGCAGCACGATGGTCCAATCCACCATGCGTACCCGCGACGAACAGTTCATTGGCACCTCTGATAGTACCTTTACCCATGTTCGAAGCTGTGCCACCCCCAACGTAATTCGGTTCCACCTCGCGACGCACAACTACTTTGTCCCCTTTAACACCGAAGTGGAGTCGTCGGATAAGCGCATGATAATCCTCCCCAAGTGTATAGAACAAGAATTGATGTGAGAGATACACTGAACGAGGAACGCACTCCGAGTGCCGGGAAAACGTGGATAGCTCTGCATGAGCAAGAGAACTACAGCAGAAACCCATCGAACATCAGCGATTCTCTCAATCTAAGGAAAGGAACACGATCTCACTCGGAGACTTCAACCCTCTTCCGCTCACTCATCTCACTCGTCAATTGCTTCACCTCACCCCAATCCTGACGTCTCCTCAATTGCCAAGTTGCAACTGTACGCTCCTTACCCGTGAGTTCCATAGAGGCATCAAGGAGCTGCTGCGTCAGCCCTGACGTCTTTCTTCCCTCTTTGGAAGACTGGGTTGGGGGGGAATTACCTAGCCAACCAGTAGAGCCTGTTCCAGGAAACGAAATGCTCGTGGTAAAATTCGTGATCGGACTCGAGATGCCCGGCTCTTTCGGTCGCTCTTCCATAGTGATACGTCTCAGCGACAGAATGCCGGAAGGTGGATCGAACACCAGGATATCCTTATAATTGCGAGACCGCAATGCAGAGGGAAGATGTCCTAAATCAGAACGTGCCGAGGAGGTACTCGGCGAAGATGCTACTGCTAAGGGAGGTGGAGGAGGAAGTAAATTTCCAGGCAAATGGATGTCTCCGGAGAGGAATATGAAAGAAAGGGACCCGTGTGGGATGGATCCAGGCGCAGGGTTTGGTCTTGGAAATCGCAAACGCGCAATTGGGAGTAACTCTGTCGACAACGGCTGCTGTGCCGAAAAAAATGAACATGAATTCAGCTCGCGACACACCAAATGCACACCAGTAACAAGACTGCGACAGGGGGGTTTACAACTTACGGGTTTATCCACATTCCAAATCCTTGCGTCGACATGGCTCCTGTGATCAGGCCGTCCTCCATATGGGTTAATCGGAAAAACGTGCACGGTGCGTTTCCCACTTCCGACTGCGACCCATCTTCCGTCCGGAGATATGTCGATCCCTTCAATGATGCCGGGTGTATGACCACGACGGAGGTTGTATATGTGCCATGGCGCGCCGTCTCCAGCTGTCCAGGATGATAGATCAGTGGGACATCCTCCACCACCTGTGTCTTCTTGTGTTCTCGTTCCCGTCGCATCCGCGGTGGCTCTATTACTATCACGCCTCCCCAACTTCGGCACTGGCCTCAACTGAAACATTCTTATGACCTGCCCATCTATTGGAGTTACCGCCACCGAATTCCCATCTCGGGTAAATGCCAAATGTCTTATCCCCTGTCGTTTCGCAACGACGAACTCAGCGACGGTATCCGGCAGTGCGGATTGGGTACGGTTGAGGAGCGGAGAGAGGTCAAGGACTTTGATGTGGGATGGTTGATCACGTTTGGGTGTCCACCATTTGTCGGCGCTTTGGCCGTGAGATGGGGTGGAATCCTGAGAGAAACCTTCTTCTACACGATGGGGACCTTCATGGGCCTGGCCCGGATGTTCGTGCCCTCCGGCGGGAGCGCTACGGGAAAAGAACAAACTACCAACCCCGCCCGCGACAGACGAAGGGAGAAGAGGTTGGTCCGGTCTAGTCTCGCCCGTGGCACCGCGAGACCCAACTCGAGACCTCGCATACTCAGTTGCAGCACTCAATGCCATACCGCCAAGGGACTTCATTCCACTTAACACCGTGCCTCCCACTTTAAAAGCCGTATTTCCGAAATCCGCCTGCGAAATTTGCGATATTCCGAATGGTAATGTCGACGAGGAAGATGGGAATGAAGAAGAGCGATCGTGAGTACGTGGATGAGATGGTGTACCGTGTCCGTGTCTATGAGGTGCGTCTGGTCGAGGAGGCTGAGAGGCGAACGCGAGAAGACGATGGGAGAGAGCATAAACTGGGACAGGATCGCTCGCTTCCGCTTCTTCCTCTCTTGTCTCCGTCCTTATAGGCTCGTCTGTTTGCCGGTGATGACTAGGAGGGTCTATGTTTGATAATGATACAGTTCGTAATTGGTTGTTGGTATTCTGTTGGTTTTGTACTGCAACTGACGTCATCGACTTCAAGCGATTATAAACCAAGGAAGAAGAAGGAATAGTATGTAAAATGGTGTATGACGCTGAAGATAGAACATGTAAATTGATTGGATTTATTGTGCTCTGGAACAAGAACGTTGCACGTCGGCGCGTCAGCGAGTGGGAGAGGAAAGTAGCGGAGGGCTTACGATGACAGTGAAATGAGTTCCAGAATCGAAGGATGAGACATTGCGAAAGGGAAGGCGCTTCACAATTTGGTGGGATCGTAACGAATAAATAACCATAAAGGATTTCGCTTTAACGTGGCATCTATCCACCACCATCACCCCGTCAGATAACGAAATGCGCGGCGGTCCATAGGAGAAAGACGAACGCACATGACGCCAATGAGAGGACGCAGGCCTTTGAAATGGACGTCGTCAATCCCAGAAGGAGAAGCCAGCACGCCAGCGAATGAGATGCGTCCCCAGGACGAATCTGTCAAGTTCAGTATTTCCGAGACGGATCCTAGATCTGTACAGTCCCATATCTGACATCCGCAGTGATACCCGAGGAACAGGATGCATCTGGACCAAAGTTAGCGAGGAAAAATAATAAGTTGGGGCGGTCTTGCCGAGGGGTGCCCTCTTGTATCAACGTATCCCAACGAGACCATAGTACGGGGTCGCCTTCGCCGACAGTAGGGTACGCTGTAGAAGGTGATGTCGGTTTGGAAAGTGCTACAATATCCTCATCCTCCTCGGATCCGAATAGTGTGTCAGATTCGATGAAGTCGCCACTATAGATCCTTGTCAACCCAGAAGAATGCTGTACCCCGGAAGTGCCACTAGGGCGTCGTCTATGAGGGGGGATTTGAATGTGGCGTTCTCCAGACGGAGCGGCGGAGAATCCAGGGAGAGCGTCAAAGCTACCGAACGAAACGGGCCTCGAGACGCGAGGTGGGGAAGGGGCGGCAGTGGGGATAGAGATGGAAGATGGGACGTAGTTGCGGACCGCGCGGGAGAAGGTTTCTAACATCGTAGGTTCACTGGGGTGGAGAACGTTAGCAGGAACGAAGGCGAGACTAGATGGAGGTCGTGCACGTGAAGCGGACTGGTGTACGCTACAGTGTTGCAGCGCACCAGTTGCAAGGACGAGTAGAATGGACCAAACAAAGGACCACTTGGCGAGCACGTTGCGCCCGCGTTGCACACAGGATGTGATCGACTCACCGAGCAAGGACAGGAGACCTCGTATGACCCTGAGCCGAAGCTCCCGGTTGGGAAGATGATGGGAGGACAACTACGAGTGGCGCAGGTGAAAGTGAGTCACCCTCATGTTTGACGAGGTGCTCATCGTCGTCTAGCACTTTGGCTGCCTCACCAGGAGGGAGGGGCTGATCAGAGTGAGGATGGCTTTCTAGATGAAGATCCGAAGCAGACAAGGGAGAATTATCGAGTTGTATGAGAGGAGTGGTAGGTGTATAGGCAATATGGTCGTGGTCTGGCATGGACTGACGTTGTACATGGCGGTTCCTCCTTGATGGCATCAAAGACAGTCGATAAGGATAAGTTCGGTCGCACAGAAATAAGAAAGAAAAGCCCTGAGAGTGAGACCTTGTAAATAAATACAAGTCTACCCAAAATGATGCGAGTCAGTGGCTGCAGACAGAACAGGAGACCAGCAGCGTCATTCAACCACTCGTCGGCGAGCGAGTCATACTACGATAACGCACGGTGCCGCATTAGGTCGTTCTGGGGTTAGGGTTAACACCCCATCAGCGTGAAGGCTGCGAAACTCATTGCCATTGATAATCGATATTCTGCCGGTCAATCAGCTCAGCTTCCATTCGTTCGTGGGAGTACTTGACTCGTAGTTCAGTGATCATCAGAATGACAGCTTTGCCTCAGCGGTATGGCTGGCACCAGACCAGTACTCGAGCGCCGTCACTCACGTCGCCAAGCCTTGCACAGCAAGATACTACCAACATGGTATCTTTGCTCAGACAGTGAGCCCGATCCATGGATATGGATACCTACGCTCATAGCTGCTACGTCTGACCACAGCAGGTGACCACAGCCTGTCGCACGCTGCAGCATCAAAGTGGGAGCTCACTACTGTACGTGAGACCGGACCATGTACTGGTCTACTCAGCGAGCTGAGACAGGATCTCAAGACCTCACTAGTTCATTGACGGGAGGCTAGGTGATGGAACATTCCAATTGCGCCAGTCAGAATCATGTCCGCACCTCGTCGCCCGAGATATGCCACCTGCACGCGCAAACACAAAGTAAGGGGGAGCCATTGTCGGGATGCTTGGAGCAAGTGTGGTAGCCACTCGGACCTGTGCCTTTACTGTAACAGATGACTACTCGCTGTAACAGTACCTGTTCCTGTGTCGATTCTTTATGGAACCCCTGAGCACTCCAACCCGTTCGGCATTCCGGTTGTGCATACCGGCCTCATTTTTCAATTTTTCAACCCACTTACAACACATCCAGTCACACCCTGAGATTCTGGCTTGGTCCTTGGACTAATAAAAGCAAGCATGAGTTGCTGAGAACATGCAGCAGTGCCTCTGTGACAAACACACATACTAGCCGTGAAGCTTTGGAGCTTGAGCTTGAAATGCCGCAGCTGGGCTTGTGACATGTTGGTGTGTACAGCCAATAATGATGAGAAGGCGTGCATTCAACCCTAAACCTAACCTATTACTGGTATCATGCGGACTACTTTCTACGCCATGCTTTATACCAGGTGTCTAAAATAATACGACATGAGTGCTACTATAGGCATAAGTCCGTGCTTGCAGGATGTACACCATAGTACTGTGAGTTGGCATGGTTCAGATCTGTGAGAGTTCCATATGTACGCACGGATCGTAGAATAGTCCGAGTCGCGCTCCTCAGAATTCACCGACGGCCCGACGGGCCTTCTCACGTGTGAAATACGATGCCGAATCTTCATGCTTCCTGCCAGAACTTGTGCCAGCGAGATCAAGATAGAGGGCAATTAAATAAATATTTTAGCTCCGCGGAACCAAATGGCGACCTGAGGATGCACTCGCCCGCCAGGGACCAATCAACGTCCTATAGCCCTCTTCGCATCGAACTGATGCAGAAATATAACGACTCGATACATACGCTGTGACGCTCCCATGGAGTGCTGAGCTGATATGCTGTGGCTATCAAGTGGTCGATTTGGACTCCATTTAAAATTGGATGAGGACAGCTAATTCACTTATTGCGATACCTTTGACGTATCACCGGAGTGGAATGGGGTCCGGCAGCCCTGGGAATGACATCGGCGCTCGTTTGTTCCCTTGGCGAACTTGTGTCTTTAGGTGCCTTCATGGATCCGTGTTCGTTCACGTCTTCACTGGGTAGAGATTTATCTGGTCTAACATTAATATATATCGGGACAAAGACCCGATACAATGCAGAGACACAAGGACTCTGCTAGTCAAGTTGCCGTGCGTGTTTCAGTCGCTGGGGGTTCGCGACCGGCAGTATTTGAGCTGTGCAAGCACATATGCATGGTATGTGCAGGGCAAGACAAAGATCATCGATCACCTTGTCATTTTATCATTATTGCTGTGTTCCTACCTGTACGTTATTTTGATCAGACTTATGACGCTTTGTCATACACGGGCCAAGAGGAACCTGAGGAATCCCGTGAACATATTTTTATCTTAACTGGATACCATGATCCACTTCAGTTTCAGGTACGGAAGACACTGGATATCCTTGCGCTCATCAGGCGGATATAAAGCGTTCTCTCGAAACACGAACGCATCTCACATCCCCCCTTACATCCCACTCACTATTACCCCGTCATCGATACTATGTCTCATCACTGCCAGGGTTCGATTAGCAGCTCGGATACCGTCACGGCTCACCACGAGCACTCAGGCCGGTTTTGTCCAGTCGTAGGGGACACCCATGCTTACTGCCCCCATCATAAGGGGGATGCAAGGTCCCCCTGTCCGGCGTTAAACACCCTCGCGAATCACGGGTATCTGTGAGTGCCGTATCTGTATATCTATATCTCGTCACGGGTGGAAGGACGTACTGACGTTGTCGATAGGCCGCGCGATGGTAAAAATATCACCATCTTCGGCCTCATACGCGCTCTTAGAGAAGGTTACGGCCTCTCAACCGCCCTCGCTGCAATACTCTCCATCGGCGCCGTGTTGATGCTGGGCCAATTCCGTCAAATTTCGCTCGCAGACCTGGCACGACATAACCTGATTGAACACAATGCGTCTTTGTTCCATCGGAACGCGCGTGACGGGGAGGAATATGCACCGCGGTGTCCAGATTGCAGTCTATTGAAGGCAGTGGTGCGTCAAGGGGGACATTACAAACCCGGCCGAATCACACTGGAGGATGTCGCGAACATTCGGGCTAAAAGGGAGATGAATGATATTCTAGATTTCACCCATGCCGAAATCGCACGTGGAGAGATGGCGATCGCAATTGGGGTGTTGGGGGGTCCAAACGCGGACAAGGAAGGGCTGGATTTTGAGGTGTTGAAAACATGGGTGAAGTATGAACGTCTGCCAGATGGATGGAAACCAGACCATACCCAGGGCTTGTACCACGCTTACAAGATGGCCACGGTCATCAGGAACAGGATGAATGACATCAAGAATGGGAAGCTGGTGAACGTCCTAGAAGAGGAGGACGCGACAGCAGCAGCGTTCGTGATGTCGGCAGCACACGAACCCCAGGTTGCACCGAGTTCCGAGTGATAGGATATTTATTTAATTCGCTCTCGCATCTATCGTTATAACTTGATATGTATTCTGCTACCCTATTACGTATATGTTAGTTACAATCTGTTTTGATTATTAAGTAGCAACCAAAGTGACGAACCAGGGTGATGACTAAGCACATAACCCCCTAGCTCCCTATCTACACCGCGCAGATAGCAGTGACAGAGTCGATGTCTGCTTCACTCAACGGCGTCCAGCCGACGCTCTCCGCTCTCCTAATCGACATCTCCGGCACGTTGCTCATTGGATCGGCGCCGACGCCCGGCGCCGCCCGTGCACTTGCCCGTCTCCGTGCCGCACGCGTCCCCTTCCGATTCTGCAGCAACACAAGCAAGGAGTCCACGCAGGAGATATGTCGGCGCTTGGCGGAATTATCGATGCACGTCCTCCCAGGTGAGGTGTGGACAAGCATCGGCGCTCTCAAGGGGGTTTTGAGGGACACCGGCGTGCGGAGGCCAGCATACCTGTCTGCCAGTGACGGACCATTAGAGTATTGACAAATGTATCGTGACAGGCCTTACACGCTACTCTCGCAATCCGCACGCGCAGAATGTCTGGGTATCGATTCCGGAATGACAAACCATCATTCACAAGATGACACTATAGAGCCATATGACGCTGTCGTCGTTGGGCTGGCACCCTCAGTGTTCGACTACGAGCATCTCAACACCGCATTTCGCATTCTCGTCAGAGAGCATCAAAATGACAAACAGCTTCTCGAGGCGTCGCTGTCGTCGCCTACGTCTAAACCGCCACTCATCGCACTACACAAAGCACGTTACATTCAGGCCTTCGATCGCGCACTGTCTCTTGGGCCAGGCCCATTCGTGGCTGCTCTCGAAGAAGCCTCAGGCACCCGCGCACTGGTCGTAGGTAAACCGACAAAATTGTTTTTCGAGACTGTCATCAAAAGTTTTCGTGACGGCACGGCCGCAGAGATGACCAAGGACGCTGCAATGACTGACGGTGGAGAGGGAGGTAACATTGGTGATGGTGGTGGTGGGAGGATCGCTGTGATAGGGGACGATGTTTCTGCGGACTTAGGCGAGGGTGCCATCGAGCTTGGGTTGTGGAGGGTCCTAGGTGAGTGCTCCGTCCACCCATCATTCATATCGCCCTTCATTTGCCTATTCATCCCTTCCATTCTTTCCACGCGTGCTCGTGTGTGCCAAATAATGTCCACATACTCCACTTGTTTTGCCTGCATGCCTGTCGGCTTTCATTGTACAGTCAAGACGGGAAAGTATCGTGCAGGCGATGAATCACGCGAGGGGGCATATCCCCCAGATGAAGTATGCGAGTCCTTCGCAGACTTCGTCGATCGGTTCCTCGATCAGGATCGTTTTCTCCAATCCACGTTTTTCAACTGCTCCAGGGACGAGACTGAGGTTGGGGCTGTCGGCCGAGGGAGTCCTTTGGAGTAGTGGCTAGGACGGAAATAGAGATACACGTTGAGAGTCTGTATTTGCGAATATTGGCGCCTTTCAATTAGTCTCGATGGACCCACTTTGCAAGCTTATCGGGGGAACATGACTTGTTTGCCGTCGACAAATTGGACAGTTCATTTGACACGAGATTGACACGTTCCGTCCGGTTATATTCGGAGCTTCTGGGCGTGGAGATGCAGTGGAGTAACGTACTAAACAATTTTTCTGCACAGCAATAGGAACAAGGCGTTTCCCGATCGAATAGGTACGAGGCTCTGCTCCCCCGAGCAAGGGAATTTGAAGAGTATACATAGGTATTCAAACACGGCCTATATCCCATCACCACCCGCATGGCAAGCGTACTGCATCGATGATCCATCCATGTTTTCTGGCCCCCAGTGCCAGTCTTTTTTCGGCGCAGGACGAATATGAATGGAGAACGAATCCCTGGCACCAGGTGGAAGCGAAGAAGAAAATAGCTACAGCCCATGCTCGGCGATATATCGCATAATCGTCAAACTAGCTAGTATATCTTCAACAGCCACGCCACATCAGATGAGACCTGAGAGCACATCAAGGAACTGTGACAGCTCACCGACACAGAGGTTTGAATAGGCCTCATGGATAGTGAGAGTGTTCCCTGAGACACCATATACGGCAATGCTTGGTGGCCGAAGGTCGTAATGTGCTACCATGTACCCTTCTGCCGACAAGCACTGGAGAACCAGGGGTCATATGTCAGTGTCTGTAAGCAGAAATGGGACCAGGAAACAGGCGTATGAAATATTAGGAACCCACCGTCCACTCATGTCCATCGATAGACTTATGCTGCCACTTATATTCACGCCCGTCGGAAGCTCTAAATTTTCTCGAAAGTGATCTGGTGAAAAAGGAAGTCCATCATCAACACCCTCATCCTCATGAGCGCTTTTGCATTCCAAACCGTTCACACGCACACGTGCGACGGGATGTTGCTTCTGAACAGCGTCATATATAGGACTCACCCTCCAAAGAACGTGGTTTTCCTCAGATAAGTGTGCATAGGTATCGGAATACTTGACGATGGCGATTGGGTGAAGTAGATAGTCCCTAGTCCAGGACGTGTTTCGCCGAATTCAAGAACGACGGAAGGATGGCGGTCGAGGTGGCGAGTGTCTTTGCGGCGCGTGGAACGGCAGCCCATCACGTAGACGGCTAGTGTGTTCTTGTTTCCTGATGTAACATGAGGGTAGGGTGTGATGCGGAAGAACATGCGATCATATATATCATCGAAATCAGAACGGTGGAGGTCGCCAGTGCGGTCTTCGAAGGTGAAAGGCATCATCTGTGTGTTCCTCGAGTTCGACATGACGGCAGTGGGTTTAGGATTCGAGACAAAGCGGGAATACTGATCACACTGACGGTCCTGGTATGCGAAAGGAATGACCCTTTTATATGGCATGAGTATTGGTGCTTAGACATTTAGGGACTTGTAAGGTTCTCCTTCCTCCCTGGCAAAAGTGCACAGAAGTCCCCGTCAGATTTCGCCATGGTGAAAAGAAGCAAGCAAAGACGAGGAGCTCACCAATTTGGGTCGCGGAGTTGCAAACGGAAGCGGGTGTGAAGTGATGGAACAAAGCGGTCCCAAGAAGTCGATGGTGTCTTATTGCCCTCCTGTTGCTCATTTTCGCAGTGCGTTCGCATCATGTTGTGCAAGGTTCCATGTGAAATGTGAACGTGAAGCAATCGAGAGTTGAATGAGAAAATGCGGATCGCGGCGGGCTTATTGTTGAGTGCGCTGAACTCACAGCTTCAGTATGCCAAACCCGGCCTGTGCGTCGTGCTTAGTGTCAACGCCACTGTCAAATCACAAATCATAACAGCCCTTAGATTCCGGAGTGTTCTACAAGGGCCCACTTTGTCAGTATAACACAGGAGGTAAGGTCGGAGTTCCATGCTCTGATTCAGGATAGTGAGGTGGTACCGCACATGTTTGCCTATGGTGGAGCGTGTGCTGCACGTTGATCTATGGAGAAGGTCACAGATCAAAATAGTTTTGTGGGGATGCAACCTCCCTGAAGTTCGACGAGACAGCAGCGGTAAAAGCCGAACGAGGCGCCTTCTTATTATGGCCAATCCCATAGTAGGTAAACGTGGGGGGTGTCAAGCGACAACGAGTAGCAAGTCGTCGATGACGACAATTGCTGATCATGCTGATACACGAATATGACTCATGGTTATGGGGTAGTGCTGTGCGGCGTGGCCGCTACGCTCAGACCTCGGGCGAGCGTAGGGTGTTAAGTTGTTGGACCTTGGACGTGACTGAGACTGAGAGCGCTGGATCCCAACGTTGTACTCATACTGGTACCTGACAACTGATAGTTCGACGTTTCGATCTGTCATCGGATATGATAAGCATGGGCCATGGTGGAGCCTGTTGGAGCCAACAGTTCCGTCTAGGAGACCCGAGATCATGCACTAGCGACAAAATGGAAGGATAATGTGAAGAATAGAAGGCGACCTGTTAGTAGAAGTGTCTGACTGGCAGGTGTGCGAATATATCCCCAACTTTGGCCGACTCGGACAAATATCATTTCATCGAGGTCATGGGCATTGGTCCGCCCAACTATGATGGACCTATCATTGAAAATGCGCTTATCATTCTGGTGAACGTGGAGCGTAATCAAGGCAGAAGTGGAGCTGGCCGAGGTTGGGAAGAGATTAGATGGACTCACCACCTGTAGCGTTCGTGATACCAATACAGGGAACCTTGTGCAACCATGTATGTGCAAGGGGCCACCCGTGGAAAAAAAAGACTGGAGTAGCAGTTAGATCGGTACATTTAAGGCACTTTGGTATGGCCATGCGGCAGAATCGGTAGCAGCAGAGCACACGCTAACAATCGCAGATATCTCGGACATGTGGCGGGTCAGGGGGTCAACATATTGTCTCAAATTATCAGTGCAGCGACGGATCTACACACATCTTGAGTGGAAAAAAAAAGTTTGCAAACGAAACAAAAGTAGACGGACACATACCATAGCACACTACATCCTACTGCCATCAAATCCGCCCTCTGAGCCTATATTCCTAGCAGATGTTTTTGCATCGAGGAACAACTCGTTCATCTCCCCAATATCTTCCACCTCGATTTGGTTTCTTCCGGAAAGGCCAGCGAGAATGGATGCAGGGGTGAGTAACTGGAGGGCATATCTGGCGAATCGCAGATAGCGCTCAATGTCATCTCAGTGAGGGAATTCCTTGTGACTCACCGCATTGACCCTCTCTCCCCTTCTTCTGCTAACCGATCCAGCACACCTGGGCCGAGCTTGAGTCCCTCAACGTTGGCGCGCAGTTGGACTACTTTGGCAATCTGCTCCCGATTGTATGTATCAGTCTTGACGATCAAACACCTATCATGCGGGTGAGACCTGTTCTTGTTGAAAAGTTAAGAGGAACGGACCGATCGAGCAAATCCACAGGTATACCATGTGGCGAGATAACATCGGTTGTTCCACGGACAACAGCGTTGCCCCTGTTGGTAGCAAGTATGACTGTCGGTGCCATGGGCGACTCGAGAAGCGCATTTAGATACGTAAAGCACTCGATATCCAACATGTGCACCTATCCAGCACGACGTCAAGCTTCCCACAACAAAAGTCCAACAAATTGTACTGCACACCTCGTCGACGAACACGACACCTGGTATCACCTCTGCAACGCCTTGGTCAACGTAACCTTTCACAACTTTGTTCACCTCTTTCCGCAGTTTTTCCGTGACCTCCGTGCGACCGCTTTTCATGAGGCTACCCATAACACTCATGATATCCTGACCGCCCTGCGGTCTTGCGTTAGCCGCATCGAGGTCACCCAGCGTGACATCCTGGACTAATTCTTTCCGCTTATGCACGTCGCCCTTCGGTAGTGGGACATATGTCTCCGATTCAAGGTCGTAGGATGATGCATATGCGTCTGATCGGCCAACACGCTGCACGGCCTCAGATACGAATTCGGATCTGATCCGGGAGAACGCACCTTGACAGCACCTGTATTGGCTTCTATGTAGATAACGTCGCCCACAACGATCTTCTCTTTGAGCATCGCTTCATAGATAGTAGGATCAAGCCGAAGTTGCTTCGTTCCCTTGACCGTTTTCAGACCAACTATGACGTGTGACACGGTTTTTCCATATCCGCTGAGAGGGTTTTCAGCTTCGGCCGGAGTCAGCTCTGTGACTTCGCCTTCATAAACCTCTTTTGTCTCTTTAATCCTCAGACCTGTGAAAATACGGGTGTGAAACTTCATCGAAAATGGCAGTGGATGAATGATTGCTCACCTATTGCTCGTCTGAAAGCCTCCGCAAGGACTTCTGTCTTCTTCACTTCTGCACTGTACACCTCTGACCCGACCATCGGACAAAATGGTACCTTGACTCCAAGTTCGTGGGACACGGCTAACGCAAGCGCAGTCTTTCCCGTCCCAGGTGCACCAGCGAGGAGTAAGGCACGTCCAGAGAATTTGCGTGACTTGATGAGTTCGACGACGACACCACACGCCTAGGATAACTCGTGCTATTATGTATAGCGAATGTCAGACCCATGGCGTCCTGCTCACCTCCCGTGCGTTCATCTGTCCGATAAAACCACCACCATCGGACAACGCAAGCCCTTCTGGGGTCAGTCCAAGACCCTTGATATGTGAATGGGGTGCAACGCGAGATGAACGCGCGCTTGAAACGGCTGATGGCGGTGGCATAGCATTGTGTGCAACGGTCGACGGTGTTGTCGTAGTTTTCATTTTCGACAGTAAATCTTGAAGGAGATGGATTACGTGAGCCGGTGGTTGTTTGTTTCCGAGGCCGCTGCCAAACAAACTTGGCGCGTTACGCTACATACTTACTTCCAAAGTCACCAAGTAGACGACAAAACAGGTCATTAAGTTTCAACAAGTGCCAACGCTTTCATCAAGACGTCAGCAGTCGAGCCATCGTTTGCTAGGACTCTTGTCTCATCCATCCTTCTCTCTATATCCATGAGGTACTCTGCCGCTCCAGACATCCAAGCCACCTCACAGCAAAGCGCGTGAAGCGCAAGAAGAGCGGGGTGGGGAAGAGGGTATGCAGTTGTCGTGGAGAAAGTCACCTTATCGGGAATGCCTTTGACCGTCTTCAGTCCTTGAAAAGCTTCGTGTACACTATATGTGTCCTGTATACCCTGTAGACAGATATTAGGAAAAGCGGACGAGGAACAAGATCCGGTGAACGAACCTCCACAGGTTTAAGCCACAGTATGAGATCATCGAAAGCGGCGTGACAATCGTGCTGCAGCGTCATGATGTTCTCGAGTCGATGGATCAGTCCGTCCGACAGGAGCTCAGGAAGGTCGATCTCGGCGAGCATCGACAAGACCGTCCGGACACCCGCAGAATGGAACTGCTATACAGGTTATTCTTGAGTCGGCAGAAGGAAGACGTCGCAAAAACCCACCTTGTTGCCTTCTTCTCCGATATTTCTATTAGTTGCCTGTGGGATAATGTGCGCAGCTTCTATGTGCCGCCAGCCACCGCCTCGAAAGTCGCTCTCTCCAGTGAGCATGCAGCGGTTGTCGCCACGACACATTGCCTTTTCGAGACATCACATCCAGATGAAATGGTCTGGAGAATTTGCATGGGAACCTACAGTCGTCCAAGCCGTGCCATAATCTATGCCGCCCTCTTGCATTATAACCATGGTATTTTCACGAGCACCTTCCAATGACGGGGGTGAAGGGCGCCCAGACTGTGCGGGCGTTGATCCGCGGCTACCCCTAACTGTGAAAGGACCATGCTGTAAGTGATTCCACAAGGCAAAAACGCTGAGACTCACAAGCCTTGATGAAATTACTCACAAAATGCTTGGCTAACTTCATAAGATTTGCATCGTCCGTCGCTAACGTGATTTCGCGTTCAACCTGTCCTTGGGGATTACCAGCGGGGGCCAAGCGCAACAAGTGCCCGAGAAGACGAACGCACACAATTGGAGGAGGGGAGTCGGGGAGAGCTTGAAGATGTGGTGCCGCAGCCTCGAGGGCGAGGCATCGTTGGTAGGCAACATGGAAGGCGTTTGGCGGAAAGGGATTGGGAGGGAGCGGGCTAGGCATGGAATACCTTGTGCCAATCATTTCACACCGGGGATGGTAGTCATTAATCATTGCTGGTTGACGACCTCAACGAGAATTCACCTCCGGGGCGGGCTCAGGGGCCGTGCGAGTGAGTCCCCACGCGAGCTGTCCCCTAAGAGTAACCCAAGATTATCGCCCGTAGAATAGAATGAAAGTATACGCTAACAGCTGTCCGCTCTTCCTCGAGGTCTGATGTAAACGTCAGATTATCGTAAATTGTTGCTGCCTTTTTTGCAGTTGACAGCAATATAATTGCAAGTGTCCTCGGGACCATATTTACACACGCAAGGGCGCAGTCTCGCTTCCTTGTAAGTAACCCCACTCGCCTCATGGTAAGCTTGCTGTCCTCGTTGCCCTTGCCTGCATCCGACTCGTTGAGCTACCTGTCATCCTTGAAGCCAAACGTTATTTGGCATAGCAAATCCCACGTCATGGCTGAGGAGGCACAACCCGGTTCACTTACAAGGGTAAGGAAATTCAAGGACTGGGTTCATGACTACGGTGGGTGGACGTCGCTTTCCTCGAGACGCCCACTCACCATATCCACGCACACCAGTCTCGTTTTCACCATGGATATGCTCCTTTATCGATACGTGAGTACTTCAGTTTCCCTCTCGCTCTCGGCGATTCGCCACGCCTGTCTGATATGCATCACCTAGCAAACATTTCCAGCGATTGAGATACATCAAACAGCTGGGTGTCTCATACTTCGTCTTCCCTGGAGCTGCCCACAACCGGTTTGAGCACTGCCTGGGTAGATCTCTCTCTCACTTTTCCTCTATATCACTCCTTCTGACCAGCGTGCGTCGAATTCTGATTTGGATACGACCGCAACTTCGGCTACGACAAAGACAGGTGTCGGACACCTTGCAAGGCTCATGGCGGTACACCTCAAGGACTCCCAGCCCCAGCTCGGCATCACAGATCAACATGTGAAATGTGTCGAACTTGCAGGGCTCTGTCATGACCTTGGACATGGACCATGGTCTCATCTCTGGGATAGCATCTTCATCCCGACAGCTCTGTGAGAATGCGCGTCTTGTTGTTGTCTGCTTTTCGTTCATCCATCTTTTCTGACAGCCCTGGAAAACGCTGGAAGCATGAAGATGCCTCAGAAATGATGTTCGACGACTTGGTCGAGACGTATAGGCCAGAAATTACTCCAGAAGAAGTCGTTATCGTCAAAGCACTTATCGCAGGGGACAGAACGCGTTGTCCGTGCGTAGCATACACTCCGACGGATCACATCCACCATGTTTCCACTGACGCCTCACTTGCACTACTCAGTCTAGGGACCGAGAAGCCCTTCCTTTTCGAAATTGTAGCAAACACACGCAACGGCTTAGATGTTGACAAGTGAGCGACAAGCCCATGCTCGCTAGTGCGTTGTTTTATGTTTCCTAGGTTCGATTATATCGCGCGAGATTGCCATGCTGTAGGCGATAGAGGGAATTTGTCCATTTCGAGGTAAGGGCATTCTCTACCACAACAATGTGGACACCTTCATTTCCGTCCATATCAAACAGACTCATCTCGTCTGCGCGCGTGATCGATAATAAGATATGCTATGACATCAAAGACGCCAACCAAATATACGAGCTGTACTACACTCGTTTTTCTCTGCACAAGCGCGTATACAACCACAAGACCAGTAGGTTCAAACCCCATGCATCAGTAACCAGAATGTTCACATACCGTCCAGTCAAAGCCATCGAGTATATGGTCATCGACGCCCTCCTTGCTGCAGAGCCCTACCTGAAAGTCGCCTGCCTGGTCGATAAACCCGATAGATACGTCTTCCTCACCGATAACCTTCTCAACAAAATCGAGGAATCCACCAAAAAAGTAGGCCTTTCCGTAGCGTTTTCCTTGCCGCCCCAAGTGATGAATCCACCTTTAATACAACCAAACAGGAGCTCGAACCCGCACGCGCTATCATAGAACGTCTACGTACACGTGATCTCTATCGACTTGTCGATTACAAAGTTTTCTCATACGCAGACCATGACATGGTGCGCCAAAACGTTACCCCTGCTCGCATCGTCGAAGTCGCAAAATCCGGATTGCTGGAAGGTGTCGACGAAGAATTAGTGTCACAGCTCACGCAGGAATGTGTAGCAGTGAACGTGTCAGTGCTGCACTATGGAAAGGGTCCAAGTAACCCGTTAGACGATGTGACATTTTACTCGAAGCAACAGCCTGATGGTGAGTATGCGTTCCCGCGCTCTTCCGATGATAACCGTCAGTGACCGCGCCCCATGGTACGTATGCACGCACAGTTGGTCGCAAGGCAGACCGTAGCGACATCTCCCTTCTTATGCCTTCCACGTTTGCGGAGGTATGGCTCCGGGTATACACCAAAGACTGCCAGTTCTTCGGGCTAATTCAAGCTGCCTACCGGCAAATTCTAAAAATGCTCCAACCGTCCGAAGGCGTAGTTGCTTCTGACGAGCAGCAGCATGAGGACGAAGTTGCACCCGAGGACCCCGAAGTGATGGTAAAATTGTGGACACCTTCAACTTCTCTTGACTCACCCTTATCAACACCCCGTACGTCTTCGCGGAAGGCAAGTGCCAGCTCATTGGCTGAACATCGTCCCGGCCCTGGCGCGGGCCCATCTCCAAGCATAGGCTCTCCTTCGGCTCCCGGTGCAGGCCCAGGCAGTGACCAACTCCGTCGTCCATCCACGCCTCTCTCATCCAACACTATGGGCAACAATCGTCGTGGTCGCGCGTTTGGCCGGACCCCAAGTTTTTCCGACAACGCGTTCACGACTGTGCCTCCGAATTTCAGGGACGTATCGCCTTCGAGGAAGCCAAGAAGTAAACGTGCGAGGGAGGGTGAAGAAGGTGGGCATGCGCCTACGAAAAAGAGTCGTATTGATGGCGTGGGTTCGTCCTGAATCGGAGAGTGCCATTCCCGAATGAATACTTGGACCGAATGGCTGGCTATTTTCTCGCTGCCTCGTTCTGTTCTGTTCTGTTTTCTCTGCATTTCATACCCGCCTGACTGAGAAGGTTACTTACTAATACGCATGTGATGGATACCATGTCGCATACTTTGGAATGATCTCATTCATGCTGCTGACGTATGTCTTTCGCATCTTATGTCAGGGGTCCAGCTTACATAGGAGCCCAATTCCACATGAGTTCCACCTCCGAATCGTCACATTTGCAGGTGCCCATCAGCAGCCTAAAACTGTATCACGCCCCCTTGGATTATGCCACTTGAACTCGAAGGAAGTTGTCACTGTGGAATTGTCCGTTTCAAAGTATTGAGCAGCACACCTGTGCCATACCAGGTCTGTTTCCACTCTCGTTGACAATAGGAAGTCTTATCTTCTTGTCCGATGCGCGCTATCGCTCTTTGGAATATCCGTAGCTTTGTGTCTGCTCTATATGCCGCAAAGTTGGGGGTGTAGGCGGTTCCATCAATCTGGGTGCCTATGCGAAGACGTTGAATATAGCTCAGGGGAGAGGGCATATCGGGTAAGCTCAGTTCGTCAAGACCCCGCCAGAAATCTCCTTGCACTGTCTTGAATTTGGAAGTCGGAGAACCGACAAGTCTGTTCGAAACAGTGTTTACAAAGCCGTTTTGGACCGCGACACTCCCCACGAATCCATCGCCTCATCTGAGCGTCATTTTTGCACGAAATGTTCGGCCATGCTCTGGCTTTACGACGAGAACTGGTAGGTGTGTTGATTCTAATCCTCCTTCATTAGGGTGGTTCTACTCGGTCAACGCCTGTGACGCTGTAACACCCGCCTTCAGGCCGGATCTCTTACACCCCTTCGCGTCTGCGATTGACAAACCAGAGCTCGAAGCACCCGAAGAGATGGTTCGTACGCCCTTTCCACGATAATACTTTCCGTACCAAGCGGTTCTGACGAATCGACACTAGGTCGTTGTCAAACTCGACTCGAAGCCCGAGTGCGTAAGGTTACCTGAGGGTCCCAGACAGACGTACCAACACTACGGACCCGATTCGATCAAGGAATGGCATAAGAAGCATGGAAAATACTTGGATTAAAGTTGAGAAGTAATGATTCGAGGTTGCATCTGCGTCTTTTGAGAAGGTAGGGGTATAATCCAGTAATTGTTGAACGCCAAGCTTTCAGCATGCCTTTTTAAAGACTGTTCGCCATGCATATTTTATGATGTATAAACTTCAGGGACATTTACGTACCTGAGCGGAGAATCTGCAACGATCAATCATAGTGCTTGCGACTCGCGCGACTCTCGTGGCAGACCAGGACGGACACCTAAACGACTAACCAGGGCCAAGAGTAAAACAAATACGACTCATCATGATGCCAACCTCAGTCCCATTTGGACACTAGGACGCAAAGTGGAGTAGGGAAAAACATGACCTGATTGGTATTCGATCACAGGAGGAAACTATGGATGAAGCAATATAAAATATGCAAACGGAAGGTTCATACTGAGCAGGTTAGCATAGTAGTTGTCCGTGTGTGCGAAGCTCCGCGAATGCAGCATTGCAGTAATGCGGAACGAGTCAGATAGGCTGCGGAATTCAAGCGCTTTGACGTCGCTATCCATGGATAAAACCCGCACCTCGAGGAAGCTATCATACAATGGTTCGAGCAGCTCACCAGGCTTGACTTTACGATGATCATTATTTCCGACACGAAGCAGGAGCCCAGTGCTGGAAACCAAGTTTCCAATGCTACCACAGCAGCAGGTGCCGGTGCCGCAGCCAGCATCCAGAACCCCGCCACGCAGATAAGGGAAGCAGCTGACGCCTTCTCGAGTCATCCAGTACCAGGTGCACCGCAGCCTCCTCCGACGTACAGATCGTACCCACGTCACCAAAGTCGTAGTCTGTTTAGCGCTACAACCACGCCAGCGTACCGTCGGTCACCCTTCTGTCGATTTGCGAAGGCATTCTCCATTGCCTTCGCTCTTTATCTCTTGATTATCACAGCAGCGAGAAGCACCATACACATGGCCTTCCGTTCGGTAGGTGGTCATTCGCCAGACCATTTGTACCATGACCGATATGCATCGTACCAGCATCGGTGCTCAGGACCAATGGTAGGGATACCCAATCCTGAAGATGGCACAATCCTTCATCGCATCGACTCGGCGAATTGGGCACACTACGAATCCAATCCAACATGGCCAACGCCGCCGAGGCCGCAATTCAACTACCCATATGGCGCTCAGACCACGTTCATGCTCCCCGTTGATGCCGATTCCTTGTACCTCATCGCGAGGGGTGCTTATCAGCATGGAAAGGTGAAGTTGAGGCAGTCAGACAGCGTTGAATCGGGAAGCGTTCGAGTGGACGTGAGGGCAGCGTATTACGATCAGAGAGCTCTCGCCCGTGTGACCTTGTGTAAGTTCAGCCGAACGGACAATGAGCATGGTATCGGTATCTACGTGAGTATCCATCTCTCGTCCTTTGTTACCTATCCAGACTCGCCAGGGGCAAGTGGACTAATGGGATTTGGTCGTAGACACCGCAATTAGGTTGGACGGATAATTACAAGGACCAGGTGCAGTTCCTTGTCACGTTCACATTCCCAGTTGCTCCCGTTCCCGGAGTACCGCTGCATATCAGACGTTTCGATGCGGATACAAGCCAGTTTTCGTACTCGGTGGGGGATCTATGGGAGTCGATGTTATTCGATGATGTCGTACTGGGGACCTCGAATTCCCATATAAACGTCACGGTAAGTCGTCCTTCGACGTCCCGCCTGCAGGAGCTGATGGCGTATTCTTTACATGCAGTCTATTGCGCTAAAGAACGGATCCTTTAGGTCGAGCAACGGCTATATCGCCGGTCACTACAATGCGTCAGGCTCGTTGAAGCTGACGACCTCTAACGGCAAAATCAAAGCAACGGTCTCCCTCTTGAATGAACGCACTCTAGCAACAGAATTAGACATGCAGACAACTAATAGGTATGCAGCTGCCCATTGACCGTCCACTACCCGCTCTCGGAACCTCGCTGACTTTATCGTAGCCTCATCCAGTCAGAAGTAACACTGAACACGCCATCAAATACAGGTGGTGCATTCGAAGTTTTTGCACGCACATCCAACTCTCCCATTTCCCTCCGATACGCCGACTCGCCTTTTGACTCTTTCCTTGCTTCGAGTGCCATCACCTCCAATAGTGACGCATGCGTCAAAATGCATAATACATTTGAAGGCTCATTCGAGCTGACCACTTCGAATTCTTCGACTTCGCTGAAGGTGAGACGTGGAGACGTGGACCCCACAGGGCGCGGACGACAGCGCATGGTCGCGCAGCATAAGATTGGGAACATAACTTCCGGAACGGTGTTTTGGGGTTCGGGAGTGCGGTACCCTCGCGGGTCGACGTCTGTAAGGTCGAGTAATGGCCGGGTTTCGTTGGAGGTGTGATGTTTGGTGTGAGGTGTTGGCCGTATGATATGTTCTTTGGCTTTCTTTCACTTGTTGGATGTGTACATTGAATCACTTCTACTCTCCCCGCGATATACTATTCACATTGATTGAAATAGGAATGAAGGCATTTGCTATGAACCCCCGATGTACTTGGGGAGCATCAGACATGCTGGAACGTGTATGGGCTAGGGGAGAGGCAAGGCCTATGCTTTTTCGTACGCCACAGCCTCGTGCCCTCTCTCTCCCACAAACGTCCACCAACCATTGGTCTACTGGTAAGCGCCTCCCGAGTTCTTCAAGCTGTGTGACTCACTCAAGCAGCAAAGCCCGATTTCCTCTCGCCTTTCCAGTCAACTTGCACCTTTCGTATTTATTGGTGAGTTCCTATCGGACCATCGTTGCGTTATATGCATTGAACTGCGTATAACCATTATCCACAGTTTGTGCTTCGTGCCAACACCCAAAATTACCTGCTCGAGACATCGTGTCTTTACCGTGGGATCTTTTGCGCTGCTCGGCTGTGACGAAAGCGGCTTCGTTTAAGTCACACGGGGTTAACACCTCAGAATAATACTGCTTTATTTCCCTTTTCTTTCTCTTTCTTTTATTCTCCCTTTTTTAGTTACTTGTTTGTCTCTCGCCGCACTCTGAACGTATATAAACCGTAGTTACTGATGTACTTGCTCCCTAGTCTACCTCGAACAGAGAATCTTCGGCCAGTTCTTCCTGAGCGACTGTAAGAAACACTCCTACGAGAACGGACTAGAAGGCGCCGTTCACCCTCCAAAGTCGAAGTCGAAAACTTCGACTTCGACTTCGGCAATGTAGTCACGTGATAATTATATAAGCTGTGCACGCCCGCGCGAATCACTGCGGAAACAGGTTTTTAATCAGGTTCGGGGATAGTCGGGTTAGTAATAATAGTTGTGCTATATGTCGAGGGAAGCCAAAGTTAATAATACCTTTGACTATAAGGTGTGCTCAATTGCAGTTGTCGTCCAAAATGTTGTCGGGTCTGTCAAACTTATATTGAGGTTTCTGTCACTTGAAGCGAGACAGGCAGGGCTATGTGAGTGCATGTGAGGTAATGCTGTCTCTGGCTGCTCTGGCATGGGAATGACCAATTAGGCAAGTGGGGAGCTAGTCTCCGATGCCTCTGTGACAAGCTACTGGACTCCGGCTCTGTAGTGAAATTCGTACTAGGAACAACAGATGGACTACAACTTCTACTTAGAATGTGATACTCCAGCTCTTAGTCTCACTCCAGCACACAGCTTCCAGCAACTCTATTCTTGTGATGCTATAACATCAGCTGAAAACAGGCAGCCAACAAGCACGTTCAGCCTCAAAAAGAGGTGAGACTCGTAGATCATTTTCTTACAACTTGCCATCTTGTCTGCCTTCGAGATCTTGCTGAATTTGAGCTCGTTCTCGCCTTGATTCTGCCAGCATGCATGCATGTGCAGAATACAACGCAAGCAGGTCACTGGCGTCCTGTTGTCGTAGTCACCTCGCGCACGGCAGGTGGTGAGCATTGAATGTTGAGATAGGCCTTCAGCGCTTCAGCGCTCGAGTCTTCGTCGATAAGCATTGCCACATCAGTGTTCTTGCCTAAATGGGACTCAGAGCGGCTGGACCCAGCATGACCTCACCTGCACTCGCATAGTCCTGCCTGTCTCGCTTCGAGTGACAGAAACCTCAATATAAGTTTGACAAACTCAATGGCTTTTTGGACAACAACTGCAATTGAGCACGCCTATAGTAGCTAAGTGTTCTTGTTTCCAAGCGTTGTCCCAACTCGATTCACAAACTTATCACCATGGTAATCCTGACAATGCAGATAATATTCAGATCGGATTTGAGTGTGGTTATAGACTATGATATTGAGTTGCATCATATTAATATTGATGATCCTCTTGACTTCAGTTGTGCTTTTCAGAATAGTAACATCAGATTATATTTGGTGTGCTCGCTATGATGACTGCTTCGAAAATGCTTTCCTGCCCCTTGCCCCTGGCACCCCCCGAAAAAAAAGTGTCCCACCTGTGTGCTTACTTGCGCTCACCTCCTTTATACAGCCCCTGGGGGAATTATAATTACAAATTCCCGACCATAATTTGGGGGAAATAATGCTGGGAGTCGATAGATATGTCCATTGGGATGTCCCAGGTGAAATTTGAATGAAATTGGTGGTCGGAAAAAAAATCTACAGGGGGTAGAAGGATGGTCAGACCACAAAATGGTATCTCTTTGGAAATACTTCTGGGAGGCTGGAAATCATTTCCATTGTCTTCAGTGGCATTGATAACACCCAGGACATCCATCCCTGGCAAGCTGGCACCCCCTCCTGATGTTACTAGATCACCATCCCTGGGGTATGAGGAGGGGATCAGGTATGTGGATGAAACAAATATGGGGACCTTTGTAACACAATTCTGATGGTCTTGTAATGTCATACCCATGGGTTAGACATGATTCAGATAGCTAGATCAATCTCTGAAATTGTTTTGATGGAGTGAACATGGGGAGAGCGGGGTAACATATCTTACATAGATATTCTGACACCTAGAAATGCTGCAACCATTGTCATCATCCATTGTGACTTTCAGGCCCTCCAGGACAACCATTCCTGACAAGCTTTCATGCTTGCTAAACTTTACAGGATTAGCACCCCCAGGATAAGAGGAGGGGAATGACACATAGGGTCCTTTCTGGCATGATCCAAATGGTCCTGCCATGTCATTCAAGTGGCACAGACATGGTATGGACAGCTGGATTGATCTGGAATTGTTTTGATGGAGCAAAGCTGAAGAGGGGGGTTCACATTTGGGCCAGGTATCATCCCAAGATGCCAAACATGTTGCTACCTGATCAGACTACACTAGGCAACACTGGGATTCAGTTCCACAGGAATGGGAACCACAATCTACATCAACAAAGGTCTGGTTCAGAGTCCAACTCTGAATGGCATCTTCCAAAGATGTTGGCTCTGGTTTTCCCTCTGAACCTCTCAGCCTAATAATCTACTTTCCCAACCCTGCCCCAGGGTCCGAGTGCACAGAGTGTGTAGGGAGTGCATAGACCAAGTGTGCAGAGTGCACAGAGTGTGTAGGGGGTGCATAGACCAAGTGCACAGAGTGCATAGGGAGTGCATAGACTGAGTGCACAGAGTGTGCAGAGTGCATAGGGAGTGCATAGACCGAGTGTGCAGAGTACACAGGGAGTGCATAGACCGAGTGCGCAGAGTGCACAGAGTGTGTAGGGAGTGCATAGACCGAGTGTGCAGAGTGCACAGAGTGTGTAGGGAGTGCATAGACCGAGTGCACAGAGTGCATAGGGAGTGCATAGACTGAGTGCACAGAGTGTGCAGAGTGCATAGGGAGTGCATAGACCAAGTGCGCAGAGTGTGCAGTGAGTGCATAGACTGAGTGCACAGAGTGCACAGTGAGTGTGTAGTCCAAGTGCACAGAGTGCGTAGACCAAGTGCATAGACCAAGTGCATAGACCAAGTCCACAGAGTGCACAGTGAGTGCATAGACCAAGTGTGCAGAGTGCACAGTGAGTGGTGTGCAGTGAGTGCATAGACTGAGCATGTGACAAGCATAGTGAGACTGAGTGACTAGTGGTGACTGACTAGAGACAATATGCAACTGGTTGATTATCTGGGGCAGAATGGGTGAAAAGCAAAAAAGGGGACAAGAGCCTAGTGATTAACTAGCAAAAGGTGAACTGCCATATTCATTAGGCTAAGTTTAGAGTAGACTACCAATCAGAGGATCCAAGTGAAACCCAACAGTGCATACATATTGTTCTCTTCATGCAAAAATAAGCAACTGGTTGCTTATCTGCATGTAGCACTGAATGTGCTTGAGGGGATGCTTATGCAAATGACCTCCAACTATCTGACCCATGGTTGCAATCAAAGTTGAAGTCACATCTAGCCTAGGTCACTACATGGAGCCTGGCCCTCACACAAAATAAGCGACTGGTTGCTTATCCCACCCATGGTTGTGAAATGAAGAAGCTTAGTCACCATATAGAGCAATCCATATGGGGTTATACTGTATATGGATTAATCCAAATGGGGATGTACTGTATATGGAAAGTATCTGCCACATATATATAGGTATCACTGTGGGAAACCAGCCACATTGCATCTTGAACTCCTACCACCACCATCATGCCTATCTGCCCTACCTGCCAAGAGAGCTTTGCCAGTAGAAAGGAATACAGCTCCCATGCCAAGAAGTGTGTCCAAGAGGCCACCATTAGGCTGCCTCACATCAACCAGACCATCAACCTGAAAAGGGATGAGGAGGGGAATTTCATTTGTCATTGTTCTGCCATGGGGTGTCCCAAACCCTTCAAGTATGCTAACAGTATGAGAACTCACATCATCAAGGCTGGCAGTAGGTGGAAGGGACAGGTCAGTTGTGGGAAAACATTTCCACATTTGGAAGTATCTCTGACCATGTCAGCAGGGCAATCCATCCATAGGAAAACTTGACTTGGTGAGTAACTTTATCAACCAGAAAAATAAGCAACCAGTCACTTATCTTCCCATCACAGACCCATGGACAAGGAATTGTAGCTGGACCCAGGAGGAACTTGGCAAGTGGCTTGCTCAAGCAGAATAAGCAACCAGTTGCTTATCTGCTCAATGTCATTATAGCATGATGAGATCAATGAGAGTAGCAGCAGTGATGAAGGTGAAGGTAAAGCAGGTGGTCCTAGCAGGGCCAGCAAGCACTTGGTAAGTGGCTTTCCCAAGCCAGAATAAGTGACCGGTTGCTTATTCTGCCCAATGTCATTGTAGCACGATGAGATCAGTGAGGGTGACAGTAGTGACAAGGGCAAAGCAGGTGGTCCCAGCAGGGCTAGAAAGCACTTGGTAAGTGGCTTGCCCAAGCCAGAATAGGCTACTGGTTGCTTATTCTACCCAATATCATTACAGCATGATGATATCAGTGAGAGTGACAGCAGAGATGTGAGTATCGTGCATATAGCTATTGGTGACAAGAGAATGATGGATGGTCATGGTATACCAGTTCCATCAAGCATCCATTGGATCACCAGTAAGTAGATGGGGGTGCATCTGTCTGTCCTTACCCTGCAGTGCTAAGCAGTGAAACAGATAGCAGAGGATTTGGGTCAGATCCCATCTCCTAACTGGTCAATGCCACAAGATGGAATCATGCATTCACCACCACCAGCAGTGAGTGTCAGTGCTTCCCCACAATAAGTGACCAGTCACTTATCCATGGACTGCAAGATCATCCAGGGTGATGTGAGGATGGTGTCACCTACAGCCCACAAGTCAGTCCCTCCTCAAAAATCCCCTCAAGCACCAGCACCACAATTGCCATCTCTCATGGTGAGTCTATCAGAGTCAACCTGTGAACAACCAGACTCAAGTTCTCTCAGTCAGAAATCCAAGCCCACAACCAGAACACTGGCAATGTTGTGCCCTCTTTAGCACAAAGGTCATGGCAGCCAAACTTGCCATTGACCACAGCCCCAGGACTCATCTCTGACAAGTTTCTGGATTCATTGAACCTTGCAGTGAATGCAGAGTTCCACTTCCTGACATGCCAAGTCTGTGAAATGGCATTAAGAGCAGGAGAAGTCAAGAGCCATCTGGCAAAGATCCATGGCAGACAGGCAACCTACAGTGACATGACCTTGAAGCTTGCCATGGCATCACTGGAGGTGACAGAACAGCTGCCCACTGGTATTACTGGGCCTAGAACCATTGTCCATGGTCTAAAAGTCATTGAGGCCATGGCTTGCAGTCACTGTGATTTCTTGTCCAGGTCAACAGAGCATCTGCAGAAACATCACTCCAGAGATCATCCAATGGAAACTAGACCAAAACATTGGAGAGCTTGCAAGGTACAGCATTTGAAAGAAAGCTCAGGGGAACTGCAGGCATTCTGGGAGGTTGAGGATGGAGACAAGCAGAGCCAACCAACAGCCAGACAGGTACTGCTCAAAGAACTGGAGCCCACACTAGAGGTGGTCCAATCACCACCAGATGGTCACATGGTCAGCCCTTGGTTGTTGACAACACAGTGGCATGAACACCTTGCTGGCAAGAACATCAAACAGCAGTGTGGCCTGGTCATGTTACCCAAGGCAGATGATGGTCTCATTCCTGGACTGAAGGAGGTGGTTCAAGCATACTATCAAAAGGCCCTCAGTCTGCTGGAGCACACAGGAGAGATTGTCCAGAAAAGGTTGAATTCCCCCAATCCCATGAAAAGGTAAGCAGCCATGCATGCACAGATAAGCAACTGGTCACTTATTCCTTCCCAGTGGCCTGTCCAACACACCCTTCCACAAGCACCTGTATGAGTCAACCATGAAACAGTACATCATCCCAGTGGTGATTCTGCTGGCAATGTTGATCAGACAACAGTACAGTGGAGGGCCATTCTCTGGTTCAAATCCCAAGCTGTTAGATCTCTTGGCAGTGCTTCGCATCGGTCAAGAAGACACAGAAGCATTGTCACTCATCCATGAGTTGCTGTTCCAGCTCTGGAGCACAGCATGGAAGCATCAAGGAGACAGGGACATTGTGGACCCCACTGAAAGGTGTCTTGCCCTGATGACTCTCAGAGAAGATGGTGCCTTCAAAGAGCCACATCAAGTCACCCCGATCATAGCCAGGTTGGAGTACTGCATGCGACTCACCTTTCTCATGGAGATCCACAGTCACATGGAGTCAGACCCACAGAAGGATGAAGAGGAGCACTGTTCAGACCTGGAGAGCTTCTTTGTGGAGAATACCCGATATACTTTCTCCCATCTGTGTTCCCTGCAACACAGAGCAACTTCCCTGGCCTTGGACACCATGAGCCTTCCTTGAGTGTGGTGGACAGACACCAAGACCTGGAAGACCATGTTGTACAGAGGGGAGCAGGTGGACTTTGCTGATCTCTGCAAGGTCTTTGAAGGGACAGAGGTCAAGCTGGTAGAGGCATGGGAACAGGGGATCCTGATGGGCCATGACATCAGAGCAGACTATGACAGGATTGCAGAGGACTTGGTCAACAAAGATGTTGGCTACTCCTTCCTTTCTGATGTCAGAAATCCACAGCTTGCAGGTAGGGATAGGCTGGTGAAGCACTTCCTAGAAGATGAGGACACATTTGCCCACTTTGCCATGATCAGGCAGGGAGCCATCATATGGAACACTGGTGCCCTTCAAGCATGGTTGAAGAAGTATGCAGAGCTGCAAAGCTTGCTACTTTTGCGAGCCCAGATGCTCAGTGGGGCTCCAAGTCATGGCACAGAACTAACTGCCATGACCTATCGCAACACCCAGACCCTGGCCAACTCGGAACCTGGCAGTACTGGGAAACCATGTCTCTCTCCTTTGTCAATACCTCAAGACAACAGCATTGACAGGGAAAGACAAGCTGATCCCTCATGCCCTGGATGGCATCACCAGTGACATCTTGGTCTTGGCACAGTGCAAATACCCTAATACAGAATCTAATCCAGGGTCTGGTACAGATGATATGGCTTCAGAGTGTGGTACAGGATCGGATGCAGAGTCAGAATAGAGTGCAGCAGGACTGGTGTGTATCTGGGATGCTGGGTAACTGATGAGCCACACAGGAGGTGTGGGAAAATGATCACATGATCATGTACAGTTGTTATGTAAGCAGCAGGAATAAGATATCAATGTGACAACTGAGATGGAGTGTGATGATTGCCTCTTAACCTGCAACCACTACCTTCCTGATTAAGGGCTGAAACAAACAAAACCAAACAAGATGAACACTCAGGTGAGATTGGGTTGGGCTGTTGAGAAGTGACCGGTTGCTTATTTGCATGGTTGGTGACAGAGCATTGGCAAGATGACCTTTGTGTCACATGCAAGTCATTTGAACTTGAGATGGAAAGTAGTGGAGTTGACTGAAGGCCTTATGGAACTATCATCACCCACACCACAGCCACTAGGACCACAAAGAAGACAAGGAAAGGGAAGGGAAAGGCCAAGTCCAATAAGGGTAAGGACAAGGTAAGGCATCTTGCATGGACAAGCAACCAGGTCACTTATCTGTGAGTGACATAGGCAGAGGACCGAGTGCCATTGCCACAGGGTTTTGATGATGGGGGATGTCATGAGGAGGTGGTGGGTACTGGATCATATGTATTTGTGGATTCTGACAGAAGCCAGAATGGTACAGGCTATGACCAAGAAGGCACCTGACCCCTCCCCCCCTTTCTATATTTCACTAGACCATGTTCCTTGTTGTTCAGCATGTCCCACCCACCTTTACTGATGTAATTAAGGCCATCTAAATCACTTGGATCTAGTTTGCTGCTTTCGTCCATGATGTGTTCTGCCTATTATGCCTACATGTGTTTTCCATGTCATAATCCATGTAGAGGGGCCAGGTGCTATGGTGCTGACAGTCTGAAAAATCTTTGAAATATCACATACTGGTGCATGATCCCACCACTGCTCTTTATTCAGTTCTACCACAGCATCTGACACTACCAATGCAGTATTTAGCCTCCTGATCATCACCCTGACCTCTTCCAATTCCTTTCTTTCTGTTCAGTGGCTGGCATTTGTTCAGGTCAGGGTTCTACAGCCAAGAAAGAGCCTACATCATATATAACACTCTCTGCCTTCTGCAAAACAGAGGGAGCATCAATAATATACATATGACTTCTGTGCCTGTTGGAGCAGGTCACTGGTCATATGATTTTGTAGACCAGTTTCAACCTCCTGTCTCTGCCTGTTCTGTGCTGCTCCAACCTCCTCCCACATACTCATCATAACCTCACCATTGCCCACCACACCACCCTCATTTCTCCTGCATATCGGAATGCACAGGACATGCACCTGAATATCCTGCAGTGAGAGACCTGTCCCATTTAGGACTTCCTTTGTGATGTCCAGGGGTCTGGTGCTTCCCTTTGCGAGTTTCTGTAAACAACTGCAGTGGAACCAATTTTTGCAGGTTTGACAATACCATTGTTGAGCTTTGTCTGGGTTATATGGTTTTTCACAGACAGAGCAAGCATGGAAGGGGCCCTGATGGGGTGTAGTTTATGTCAGGAGTTTTTCAAAAATCAGTGTCATGCCATTCATCCGTACCTGGATGACTTGTTTACCATGTGTGCTCATGGTCCACCATGTATACATATCCTTGGGTCCTATCAGAGGACCAAAACACCTTTCTGCACTGGAAGATGTGATGTCTGCTGGCGCTATGCTCTCTGTGAGCTTCCAAGCTGTATACAAAATTCAGGGATGACTTATACATGATGGCCTCTGGTTCAATGATGCCATTGTGGTCTGATAGAACCAGCTCATTGTTGCCAATGTATTTTCTCATGCTGTTTGTGAGTGAGTCAAAGATACAAGGAAGTTGATCACAGCTGGCTCACTTTTTGTCTCCTATATCGCTCCTGCTGTAGTACCACTGCACTTCAACCCATGCCTTCTGTACTGCATGTCAGAAGGGTGGACACCCATGTGGCACTGGAAGTCTCTTACATTACTTTTCTTCAACTGTTGGACTCTGATGTCCTTGATCACAGCATACCACAGGCTGCCATCATTGCCATTTACAAAGATGCTAATTAAAGCTTCCATCAGCAAATGACATACCTATCCAGTCTTTTCTTACTTATCACCTCTTTGGAAGGTGTGGGTCATGTGTTCTGGAACTTCCTCCCTTCCATCCAGGATGTCTTCACCTGCACTGGTGAGGTTCTTCACTGGCTGGATGAGCTTAAATGACTGCTGGTGTCTAATTGAGACCTACCACTTAGCTTGGAGGATGATGGAAGGGAAAGAAAGGTCTTGTTGGATGGAGGGGCCATGTTGGGTTGGGAGGCGAAAGTAAAAAGTCAGAGGGTAACCCATGATGTCGCTTGCAATTCTTGGTTAGCCAGGGCAGATCCCTAAAAAATTTTCTTTGGATTTGGCGTGGCATTATGTGTTTGGGATCGGCAAAGAACCAACATTCCACTGCCATGGCACCCCAGACACATTCCCAGAGAGCCCTCAGAGCTGCTTCCAATGCATCCTCCACTGATGAAAGTGAAATCAGACTTGCATTTGACAATGTCATGAAGGCCATTTCTCCTCCATCTCATCATTCAGACTCAGCATGCTCTTCTCCTCTGTCCCCATCCTACAGTGTAATAATGGGTGGTCTCCTTGCAAGAGCAATGACTCCTCCAGAAGATCCAGAATCCTCTGTTGATGAGGATGAACTAAACCAGATATTTGAGAAGTGCCAGGCCATGGTAAACCACTTGAGTGGGTCAGAAGAGGAGCATCAAAGCAATGCCTCTGACGATTCCTTTGTGAATGTGCATGGCCCATCAGTTGCACCATTGCATCCACCCCATCAGGACTTGAGTCAGGAGTCAGGGGTGGCTTCTGTATGTGATATCATCAGTGAGTCTCTTCTGTACTCTTTCTCTCCATCCACTTATGATCACTTCTGAAAGTGTGTTCCATGGCCAGGCCTACCACATGGGCAATGGCCTACCAGACCCTAGGGACACTCTGGTATGAAACTTGGATTGATGCCAACATCCTCAACTTTCATCTCCTGTCCCAATGGTATGCTGTCCAGGGCAGGACGCATGTCTGCTATGCCGACTTGTTCTCTGTCATTCCATCTGTCAGTGGGGGCACCCATGCCTTACCAGATGCACAGGAGATTCAATTTTTTTGTCAATGCCATCTCTTCAATTCCCATCCTGCCAATCCATCTGTTCCCATTGCCTTTGCAGTCATGCACAACAGTCACTTCTTTGTTGCAGTCTTTGACTATTGGTTGAACCTTGCATTCATCCTTGGAAGGTGCATCAAACGTGTCCTGGAAACCCCCCATCCCTACTATGACCCACTGCATAATGACTGGAACACATGGAATGGCCCTTTCTACTGGACATGCATAGCATCTCTTCATGGATTTGATGCTGTCAACCCAACCCAAGTTGATGTGCAGGTGTACAATTGGTCACAGAATGGTTTTGACTGTGGGCCCATTGCATACTTTGTCATGGAGTCACTCATGAGAGGAGGGCTATCTGGTGATTGCAGGCCTACCACCCACATCCCTCCAATTCCTTGTGGTCATTGTCTCTGCCTTGGAATGCTTGTCATGGTGAAGGAGGGCTGTCAAAGGTGCTGGGAAGACTATTGTTACTTGTCTACAACCACCCTTCCCCCTGGCCACATATGGACACAGTGGGATGACACTGAAGCCATCAGTGAAGACATCCTCATGGATGTGGAAAACCAATCATCTGGAGAGCAACATGCTACCATCATCCATGAGTTGAATGTCATTGGGGCCAACTGCCTTCACTTCCAAAGGGGGGATGACTCTGGTGATGTAGTGAACCCCAATGTGCACTCTGATGGTGACTTTCCAACTGACACTGAAGATGAAGGTGAAGACCATTGTTTGCCTCTGGACACCAAGTCTCAGCATCTCAGGGATCTCCTTCAGCACTACCCTTATGTGAGCAGGGCCAGAGCCAGGGATCAACTTCCTCCTTGGGCTGCCCATGGTCACCAAGTTGAAGGGGAATCCACTCCAGATGATCCCCTTGAGATCATCCAGTGATGCAAGGAAGTCAAGGACTGGTCAGCTGGAATGATGTATTATTTCCCACATCCAACTCCACCAGTCATTCCCTACAGTTCAACACGCCACTGCCCATCCACCTTGGTCCCATCATCAAGGAAAAGGCTCCTATGCACAAGCACAATCATGTGTATGTCAACATCCTTGTGCCTCAGTCAGAGGCAGATTCCAGTGCCATCAGAAGCTGTACCAAATGGTTGACCATGGCATTTCCTCTGTGTGGAGTACCTCACACAGTGTTTGGTGCCTTGAGCAATGCTGCTGGCACCATGAATGTCTGTTGGAGTTTATCACTTTTACCTTACTTGTGGTTCACCAAGCACAGCATTACATAATCCAAAAGCGGACACTTAGCAGTTTGTTTTTTCCTTACTGCACCTCAGCTTCAACCAACTTGAAGTCTGAGGTGGGACTCCTTCCATTCATTATATTGGAACACTTACTTACCTACCTACAGTATATTCCTCTCCATAGGTAGTTAATTGTTCAGCTTCAACCAACTTGAAGTCTGAGTATATTCCTCTCCATAGACTTGACAATCCTGCAGCTTGTCATCCTCCAAAAATGTCTTCATTTGCTTCCCCAGGATGATCCACAGGGATCAGATGACACACAGGCATGCCAATTGCATCCCAAAGGAGGTCCTCAAGTTTTTCTGGGAGCATGTCCAACTTCCAGCAATCTGTGCACATGCAGATGTTTCGAGTGCACCATACATCTCTCTCACTCTGAAGGAAGTGCAGTTCAAGGCACAAAAGGGTGGCAAAACCAAGAAGGCTGGTTGGCCAAAAGCAGTCCCCTTTTCTATGCAAGTGTTGAAGCAGATCCAGAAGACCATGGAGGCAATCATCTGAGAGGACCCTTTACAATTTGCAAACTATGGTTCCTTCTTCTTTGTCCTGGAATGCAAGGGAATCAAGTTGTGGACGACAACCACCCTGTCAGGAGTGGTTCAAATGCTGGTCCAAGCTCTCCTCCATGGACTTCCAGCTCTGGATTGGTCCCACACGGTAGACAGGGCCAATGGGGAGCTCTTGGTCAACTTGGGAATCAGCATTCACCCCACATGTAACGAAAAGCTCATGGGATTGTGGAGACCAGATGCCCTGGAAGCTTCCTTTGGGGCAGGTGGATATTTGCAAGGAAATGCCCACCACACTTGCATGCTTGGACAGTATGGGGGGATTCAAGCAGAGATGTCACAGGAGTGAGCAAGGCAAACTCACATTGCATTCAGAAGTGCTTATAATCTGGCCTATGAGGTGATCCAACCCAATGACAACAGCCCCACCTTTGTCATGGACAAGGATGCTGATGCCCTGAACAATGACTTCATTGGGGAATGCATGCAGGCCATCAACATGTATTCTGGAGATGCAAAGAAGAGGTCATATGGGGTGCAAGACAAGTACAGGATGAGTGGGGCTGCAGTGGAGCAGGCAATACTGGTGGTGCCACAAAGGGTGATGCATTTCCAAGTTCAATCATGCTCATATCTGATGCTTCCATCTTTGCAGATGGAAGAGCTTTTAGCCTCCAATCCCATTCTCTGGATCCTGACCAAAGTCTGGTTGGAATTTATGGCTAGACACATCAGGGCCCTCCAGTTTGCTCAGATCTCTCTCAAGGAACTGGAACCACCCAACCTTGGGATTCTGACCAGCATCATCTGCCACATGATTCAGTGCACGTCCACCACTGAAATAATCCTCAACTTCCATGTGAGAGAGTCCATGGCCCTTCTGCAGGTCTCCAGGGTGTGTGAGCGGTTGGGAATGTTCTTCCTTTTGGACCTGGACTTGCATCATGTCCCCCATCTTCCAGAAGTTCAGGATCATGATGACTTGGAGGTGCTCAAGCTGATGGAGGGAAAGTTGAAGAGGGGTGACAGACAACCTGCCTGGCCAAGGATTCCCCCTCTGGACAAAGTGGAACAATTTCCCATTGGCAGTAGACCAACATGGGCCAAATTGACAAGGACCATCCAACTGCAGCCTTGGTTGATCATGCAGGACTGGAAGTGGTCAGCCCAACTGTCCAGTCTGGGGCCAGTGGTAGGGAAACTTTTTCGTTCTGTTTACCTGTCAGCTTTGGATCCAGTTGGATGCGACTTGGCTGACAGGCTCAGAGGGAAAACCAGAGCCAGCATCTTTGGAAGAAGCCATTCAGAGTTGGACTCTGAACCAGACCTCCAGGACAATACATGCCTGCGAATTCAAGGCCTGCAATGCAGAAATTGCAGGGAGTGGAGGGGCTGGTCGCTGACAGTCAAGCTTTGCAGAGAGGGTCAACCTGTTTTTCCCAGGACCCACAGCAGGACAACCTTCATGGAGGTCACCATGGAATGTCTTCTGGACAAAGCCTGGCTATATTTGGGAGTATCACCAGGTGATGAAGAACAGGATGCCCCTGGAGGAGTTTGAGGTGCTGGACCACCTTGGCAGGATATTTTCTGTCCTTCAGACATTACCTGATGTGACCAAAGGGAGTGAAAAGAGTCCTGGGAAGACATGGTGGGTGGAGGGTGAGAAGGTGGTTCTGGTGACAAATCCCAAGTTCTACAAGATCAAGGGTATCTCCACCAAGAAGGAACAGCAACAGGCCAGGAGATGAGCATCTTGAGTGGTAAAGCCCAGGAATGCACTGCAGATGGAGCTCCTGGAGCATGCTGGATATGATGAAACTGCTGGCTAGCAAGGCCCTCATCTTAGAAAGGCAGAGGCTGAAGAGGCACAGACTAAGAAGTCATGAAAGGCAAAGAATGCTTGAAAGCCTTCAGCAAGAAGAGGCAAGGCCACCTCATAGAGGGAAGCAGAGGGATGGCAAGGGGGAAGGCAAGGGTATGGGTACAGAGGGAGACAGTGATGAATTCTGTTCATCCAGTTCCCCATGTATCAATGATGTGGTGCCAACTTGTGGTGCACTCTGTGCACTCGGTTGATGCACTCTGCGCACTCAGTTGATGCACTTCAAGGGGTCCAGCATGCTCCAAGGAGGAGTGGTCAGATGGGAACATTGGTATGTTATAAGATGGATTGTAGTTGTATTACCAGACATGCAATAGACATAGGAGAGTCAGGGAAAGATGGTTAGTGCACTGGAAACAGGTCTCAGGGTGTCCCAGTCAATGTGGACAGGGGCTTTGGTCCTGGATCAATGTTCATTGGTGTTTGTTGCTGTTTGTTGGTGTTCATTGGTGTTTGATGGGGTTCATCCTGCTGTATGGACCTGTGGATGTCCAAATTAGGTCAATTGAGGTGGTCTGAGGGGGGGCAAACACCACTTCAAGCAATCCAGCATGCTCCAAGGAGGAGTGGTCAGATGGGAACATTGGTATGTCTTAAGATGTATTTTAGTTGTATTACCAGACATGCAATAGACATAGGTGAGTCAGGCAAAGATGGTTAGTACACTCAAAACAGGTCTCCAGGTGTCCCTGTCAATGTGGACAGGGGCTTCGGTTCTGGATCAATGTTCATTGGTGTTTGTCAGTGTTTGTCAGTGTTTGTCCTGCTGTATGGACCTGGGGACGTCCAAATTAGGTCGACTTTGGTGGTCCTAGGGGGGACAAACACCACTTCAAGGGTCCAGGCATGCCATGATGGGGAGTGGTCAGACAGGATCATTGGTATGTTATATCATGTATGTAGGTTGTATTACAAGACATGCAATTGACATAGGAGAGTCAGGCAAAGATGGTTAGCACACTCTAAACAAGTCACAGGGTGTCCCAGTCAATGTGGACAGGGGCTTTTGTTCTGGAACAGTGTTCTTCAGTGTGTGTTGGTGTTTGCCCTGCTGTACAGACCTAGACATGTTCAGAACAGGTCAATTGCAATTGAGCTAGGGGGGATGAACACCATGTCAAGCAGCCCAGCATGCTCCAAGGGGGAGTGGTCAGATGGGAACATCAGAATGTTATAAGATGTATTTTGGTTGTATTACCAGACATGCAATAGACCTAGGAGAGTCTGGGAAAAGTGATTAATGCATTCCACACAAGTCGCAGGGTGTCCCAGTCAATGTGGACAGGGGCATTGCTTCTGGAGTGATGTTCATTGGTGTTCATTGGTGTTTGTCTGGCAGTATGGACCTGTAAATGTCCTAGCAAGGTCAATTGCAATTGATCTAGGAGGGACGAACACCACTTCAAATGGTCCAGCATGCCATGAGGGAGAGTGGTCAGACAGGAACATTGATATGTTATCTGATGTATTTTATTTGTATTACCAGACATGCAATTCGACCTAGGGGAGTCTGGAAAAGCTGATTAATGCATTCCAAACAAGTAAACAAGTGCTCCAGTATGTTTACTCAGGGCCATCCATGCTGGACTGATGTTCACAAATGTTTGCCCATGTTCATCAGTGTTTGTCATGGTGGACGGACCAGGACATGGTACTACAAGACCCATAGCAAGTGGGCCTGTATGGATGAACACCATTCCAAGTGGGCCAGCATGCTCCTGAGGCAGGGTGATCCAGTGGGCATACTGGTATACTATCTGATGTAGATTCTCTATTTCATTGTAATACATGCAGTAATATAGACATACAGGAATCTGGGAATGATGATCAATGTGCTTGAACCAGGTCCCAGGGTCTCCCAGCATTTGGACATGGTCTGGATAGGGGCTTTGGTAAGGGGTTGATGTTGCCTGGTGTTCATCTGTGTTGTCTGTCATTCCCCATATTGTATGGACCTGTACCTATCAACCTGAGAGCAGGGGAAGAGGTTTCCATGGTATGAACACCATTTCAAGTGGTGCAGCATGGTCTCAGCAGGGGTGGTCAGGTGGGCACACTGATAGAATATCCAATGTAATTTATTTGGATTACATGAAAGTCCATTGACCTACCAGAGGCTGCAAATGATGTTCCATCTGCTCCAAAATGAGTGACAGGCTGTCACAGTCAATTTGGACAGAGGCCATGGTGCTGGCTCGATGTTTGCTGGTGTTTGCAAACAATTTCCCATTAGCAGCAGACTGACATGGGCCAAATTGTCAAGGACCATCCAACTGCAGCCTTGGTTGATCATGCAGGACTGGAAGTGGTCAGCCCAACTGTCCAGTCTGGGGCCAGTGGTTGGGAAACTTTTCGTTCTGTTTACCTGTCAGCTTTGGATCCAGTTGGATGCAACTTGGCTGAGAGGTTCAGAGGGAAAACCAGAGCCAACATCTTTGGAAGATGCCATTCAGAGTTGGACTCTGAACCAGACCTTTGTTGATATAGATTGTGGTTCCCATTCCTGTGGAACTGAATCCCAGTGTTGCCTAGTGTAGTCTGATCAGGTAGCAACATGTTTGGCATCTTGGGATGATACCTGGCCCCAAGGTGAACCCCCCTCTTCAGCTTCACTCCATCAAAACAATTCCAGATCAATCCAGCTGTCCATACCATGTCTGTGCCACTTGAATGACATAGCAGGACCATTTGGATCACACCAGACAGGACCCTATGTGTCACTCCCCTCCTCTTATCCTGGGGGTGCTAATTCTGTAATGTTTAGGAAGCATGAAAGCTTGTCAGGAATGGTTGTCCTGGAGGGCCTGAAAGTCACAATGGATGATGACAATGGTAGCAGCATTCCTAGGTGTCAGAATATCCATGAAACATATATTACCCCCCCTCCCCATGTTCACTCCATCAAAACAATTTCAGAGATTGATCTAGCTATCTGAATCATGTCTACTCCATGGGTACTACATTACAAGACCATCAGAATTGCATTACAAAGGTCCCCATATTTGTTTCATCGACATACCTGATCCCCTCCTCATACCCCAGGGATGGAAATCCAGTAACATCAAGTCAGTTGCAGTGTCAGGAGATGGCACCAGGATTGTGTCTGGCTCTCATGACAAAACCGTATGTCTGTGGGACACAGAGACCAGAGCACAGCTGGAAGATGCCCTAGAAGGCCACACTGGCATGGTTTACACAGTCGCTTTTTCACCGGACGGCCACATGGTTGTGTCAGGTTCCAAGGACAATACTCTCTGCTTATGGGATGCACGCGCTGGCATAGCAGTTGGTCATCCTCTGATAGGACACAGTGGGGCAGCGAATTCAGTTGCATTCTCGCCGGATGGAATGTGGGCAGTATCAGGCTCTGTAGACACCAATGTTTTTCTGTGGGATGTTCACACAGGTGTTCGGGTGGGCACAGCTCTGAAGGGGAATGCTGGATCGGTTCATTCCGTTGCGTTTTCACCGTATGCCAGGGAGATTATTGCAGGGACTGAGGATGGGAGTATCTGCCTATGGAATGCAAGAGTACACTAGGTGATTGTAAGCATTCGCTTACCTTACCACTTACCGCTTGCCACTCACACACCATATGCACCATTCATGCTATTGCTTCATGTCGTCACATCTCCTATTCCCTCGGTCGTGCCCTTGTCTGGGCATGCAGATCCCTCCTGCTGTGTTGTACTGTTTGGACCCCAGGGGTATATATACTGGTGCTGCATGTATGCACAGGTCGTCTCTTCTTTTCTCTCTTTCCTCTCACTTGCTCTGTTGAGCATCTTGTATCAGCATATATGCTTGATTGTCTAATCCCCACACGCCTGTCCACGTTCTGTCGTCATTGTGAGCCGTTCTGAGTGTACTCACCCCACAGTGGTGAGTTCCAGTGATCCAATGCTGTCAGAAGATAGGGTTGGAATGAGGTACATATAGTATAAGATATCTGCATGTAGAACCCTAGAATCTTGCAAGTGGCTCATCGGGCTAGTCCACAGACTAGTGAGCAGAGGGCTAGACTAACATGTTCTTCTGCTCCCCTGTTTGCAGCGTCTGCAGGCTATACGAGAAATTGGATCTCCTGTAGCATCAGCTCAGGATTGCCACCTGCCCCATCATCGATCATATCTCTGGTCACCATATCCGCTGATTACATAACTCATTATTTTATCCACTGGCAGCCATCTCTTGGGAAATTTATATTTTCTCACGAAACCCATACACAACATCAATTGTTACACTTCGTGACACATGAGTACAATATCCAACTAGTTCACTTCACTCTTGTGCTAGGTCAAATTTGAATCAACTGCACAGGGTTGATCTTAGCAGGTATAGGGTATGATGGTGGACCAACGATGCTGAGAGGCTGAAGGAGAATCTGGGAACATGTGAGCATGACTGCTCTTGGTGTTGGAGAGCTCCCATCAGGTCATACCTGCAGGGGATGAGGTTTTTCTGGGCCGAGGTTTGGAGCAGTCCATGCCAAACAGCTCTCATCCTTCCTCTCGATGCTAGGTATTGACATATCATTATCCAACCATCCCATTGGTCGCAAACACCAGAGACTTACGTATATGCTCTCTCGTGTCGCCTGAAAGTAATAACCCACTCCGTAGTACTGTCATCATTGAAAGCAACGACGCGGTCATCTAAATCATGGACCATGTTCCTATTGACCTTGATGGTGTAGGTGTTGACCTCGTTGCCTTTTGTGACAGGTAAACTAGACAACATGCAAAGGTCAGTCAACTCATTGTGCATAGCAGAGGAATGAGAGTAACTTTGGGAGGCAGAATATCTTCATAAAAGATGACAATTGGGTAGGGAGGGAGCACACCACCAGCCTGGTCGTCACGAAGGTATTGCTTATATTCCACAGAAGCAATGTGGTACTCACTGGAACTGTTTTGAGTGGGAGTGGAAGACATCTTGTACATCGTGGATAAGAGTTGAACTTTTTGACTGATGGAGGACCGACAACTGGTTGCCTTTTTATCCTCCAGGAACTACATACCTGTGAGGCTCCTCGGAAGCTCGCATGGGCAGGTCATGCAAGTATTTTCATATGACAATATAACTCAGAAAGAGCAAGCTCTGATGGAATGTTCTGTGAGTACCAGTGAAGCAGCTTCCAAGTATAGAACGATCGAGTGACCAGAGCTTTCCATGTCTACACCCCAAGTCCCAATTGGATTGCATCAGTATTATGAAAAGGACAAAGTTAGGGTGCCAACTCGGATTGCATAATTGCGGAACCCTGGAGATTAGACCAAGGATTAAAATCAATCCTTCCAGGTTCAAATCCTACTAGACGCATGCTCTGCACATTTATCAGTAATTTGCTCTGTTCAGATCTATCAACAGTAGGTACTGGAGTTGACCGAATTCTGCTCATATGAGATTTGGTGGTCCCATGCATGCCAAATGCACGGGAACGTACCACAGCAGTCGTGTTACAGCCTCTGAGCCATCTGTGAGAATGCAGAGATAAGGATGTGTGGGCCTAAGTAGGTGACATGAATCCATCGGTTGAAATGGGCCAAGCATTGCTGCGGTGCAGGCACATGCAGGTTGACATATGCTGGTGTCTCTAACTAAGAAAATGTAGTCCATATCAAACCTGTCCAAGCTGCCAGATTTGCCATTTCAGACTAGAGCGGCAGGTCACCATTGCAACTCCAAGGAACACAGGTAGCCTCATTGTGCAGTAGATAGCAAGATGATCGAGATAGTGAAGTCGTCGTGCTAGCGAAGATGCTGAATGTAAACTATCGATAAATGGGTGTAAACAGCAGGTTCGAGGTTACTGTATGTAGTTCAGCACAAGCCTGTCCATGGCCTGCTACATGCGGAATCAAAAACTCAATGACAAAGGTCACTTACACTAATCTCGAGGACGTTAGGATTTGTCACCCTATGTTTAACATCTTCACCGAAGTCTGCTATCTGGGGGACTACCTGGGTGCGCAGGGTTCATCTTCATTTGAAAGGTGTGTATTCCACATCAGATGTAGCAAAGATCTAGAGACGAAATTTTTCTTTGTGTCAACTGGATGGAACTGCCTACGAGCGTCTAATTGTTCGTGTTGGAAATTCGGTTGCCACATTCTGGGCTCTGCGAATCGCACAAATCTACAATATGAAAAGAAGAAAGTTACAGCGCCAATTCGGATTGCAAATGTGCAAACACGAGACACGGTTGAAGATCTGAAGGGGGCATAATCCAATCCTACAGGACGCACGTTCTCCCACGAGCCGGACAGGGGGACAACTATTTAAATATCCACCTGGTACCCTGAAACGTGGTGCAGACATGTAAGGCTAAACTCACCCTCTGGGAGTACATCTTATAGATGCTAATACCATAGGTTTCTGCCTGTTTCTCATGCCCGAGAGATGGTGTGGGCACGAGACTGCCAAATTTCGTACCAGTAACAGGTCAATCATGGTACCTATGATCAGGTTAATGGATCCAAGTGGAAGAACTGGCGCTGAGCAGGATTCTCCAGAGCTGAGGAATGACAGACCACTGATCTCCACATTGAAAACATTGCCAGATGTCCTTGGAAGCACATGCAGACTTGGGGATGTATGTACGAGAACAATCATGTTTGACATCATTCGAATCGGAAATTTCAGAGTGCTGACAGGGATATGGCTGACTTGACAGCGAACGTTCTTTTTATGGGTTTTGAGTTTTCCATGCCAATGAAATCGGGTATCGAGTGCTGGACTGACTCGCCTGCTGACTCACAACTTCCTTTACCTGACTTACATAATTGCTCCCATGTATTGCACCCAAGTCTGAGGGGTGTTGTCAATGACGTGCGAAAATCGACAGTCTGCACTAATTGCTTCGCTGGAATCTTCAAACTAGCACAATCGTCTCGAGCTATGTGGCCGGCCTTTTCCTCGTATGATGTGGCGCAGAATACTGCTAGTCCTCCCTGTGGTGGGTTCTGTAAACCTTTTCCCAATGCCCTGAAGGCTGAAGCGTGTTCTAAACATTTATGGTTGAACTCACCTTACCGTAGAAGCAATCTGAATTGGTGCCCTAATTTTGTCCTTTCCAAAATTACATTACAGAATATCATTTTAACTCCAACATAGGCGAGCTTACAACACTGATGATTGGGGGTGCATCACGAGCACCCAACATAAGAGCTTCCTCCAGCTGGTGTGTTCAATGCGCCAAAGGGGGAATCAAGGTTATGTGAATGACACATCGGATGTCTGGCAGGAGCAGTTGTTAAAGCGCAGGTTACGCGTTATAAGCATATGGGTTGTATGTGGTGGATATCCCTGGCATTACACAAGAATGTGAGGAGGAAGTCATGGAATCCAGCGACATCGACATACCTGTTACTGGTCCACAAATCCAATATCACCATTTATTGGGTTCAGATTCACTCTCAAACACTTTCCCCATGTGTACAGAGGATATCTTCGATGTTCTTGAGTTTCCCGTTTTCGATGGTATCCTTCCGACCAAACAAAACCATGAGCGATAGGATGCCTAGCCATCGTAGATGTTAGTTCGATACACCCTGGCTTTCAGAGAAGAAAGAAGTGCCACACCAATTCTTACACTTGAGACAGTGGATGATCATGATGTCACTAGGGTGGGAAGTGTGCAGAACGATAATTAGGTGATTCTACACGATGGACAACTGCAGTTCAAGTGGGTCAACATCGGACTGTTTTGAAGTCAGTGATGAGGTAGGGCAGAGTTTCGTGGGGTCTGCATTAGGCGCCTGGTAAACAGCGGAGGTTGACCGAATATCTGTGAGTCATAATGTTGGCTGCACAACCACTGATGCCCTGGCCAACACTGCACTGCAGTGTTCTTGAGCCATCTAGAGGCCAGCATCATCGACGGTACATTTGGGTTGTGTTTGGAGTAGAGATCGAAAGGAAGTGCTGCTGCATAAGCTTTACGACTTGCGATGAATGCGCGGCCAAAGTCAAGAGTGCTTTGGAGGTGCCCAAATTGCAGTTCAAACCATTGGCAGAGAAGGTCGAGAGGATGGCGAGGGAAGCCAGGGGCAAGGACAAGGCGATGGATAGTAGAGAGGTTACTCGAGTGCGAACTTGTACCACGCTAGCAATAGGGAGAAATTGGAAGGGTCCGTTATGCCATGGGAGCATGCAGAAAGTATCATGCACAACGAAGGAGTTTAAGTGAGTGGGAAGCTGCAAGTCTGTTAGGGGCCCGATGGAGGCAGGCATGTGGGTGTATGATACATCAATCTCGGCTGCGGAGGTCAACGAACCTCACTCCACTGTGGGAATTACACTTCGACGAGAGGCGACAGACAGGCCCTTTAGTCAAGACCGTCATTAGTGTGGTTGGAAGGAAATCGCGTCCGTGACCCAGTGAGGAGAAAAGTGAGAATTGAGGTTCTTATTCCTCGCGACAAGAAATCACAAAGTTACGTATCTATTTGCCTGGGTGATCAACATTTCTCTCATGCCAGAATGTTCGAAGCATGAGAGAGCTTTCATATGACTGGAAGAATATCCAAGGAAGTGGGAGACCGATAGAATTGGTTGATAATTCGAGTGACTTGTAGTTTGGTCGAGATGGCATGGGTAGGCCCGAAGATCAGTAGGCCAGGTAGCAGTACTGTTGGACCAGTCTTTGTCCCCAGCGTGTGTGGTCGTTATGTGTGAACTTCAGGTGGTCTGTGCTTGCAAACGTTCTTGCCAGGAATATCGATCTCATCAGCTCGAAGGTTTCCCATACTCATGATTTTTTCGAAATATGCAGAGCTGGGGGATTGAAGATCCATGATCACCATCGAACCATTCTTCTCGATTGTCGATGTACTATTCAGGGCTCATGTGGGTCTGTGGTTGAAGCCGGCTTCTGTGCTCCTTTGAGTGATTCATCACATGTAAACTTTGAATCATCATGGTGATCAAAAGCCTGGGACAGTGGTGCGAACTTTGTGAGGACATGCATGGGTACTCAGATGAAGGTGTAGCTTGTTATAGATGTCCAGTCACCTCGCTCACATTCACTTCTTTGATCAAATCACCCTTCTCGTTCCCGCAGCAAGACAAATGTAACCACAAAACACCAGGTACCGCAGGTCTGAGAGCAGAGAATGATTGGCTCAGACTAGGATGGATGGCCCAGAAGAACTTAGGAAAATACAATGGACACTCAGACAACCAACTACAGCTCAATACGACACCTATTGTTACATTTTGCATCAGTACCAAATCCACCTTGTTTGCTTCATGCTTGTACAAGCTCAAATTTGAACAGCTGGGTAGGGATTAATAGAGGAGGATATTGCTCGGTGGGCAGATAGGTGAGAGGCTCAAGGAGAATCTGGAGACATGTCAAGATGATCATCCAAAATGCGAGAGAACTGCCACCGGTCGTACCTGCAAGGGATTAGTAGGTTGTTCCGGTCCACACGTGGGAGCAGTCCATGCCAAACTGCTCTCAGCCCTCCTCTCGATGCTAGGTATAACCATCAGCCAACCATCTCATTGGTCTCAAACACTGCAAACTTACGTATATGCTCTCTCGTGTCGCCTGAACGTGATAACCCACTCCGTAGTAATGTCATCGTTGAAGGAAACAATGCGGTCATCTAAATCATGGACCATGTTCCTATTGACCTTGATGGTGTAGGTGTTGACCTCATCACCCTTTGTGACGGTAAACTAGGCAACATGCAAAGGTCAGTCAACTTATTGTGCACAGCAGAGGAATGAGAGTAACTTTGGGAGGCAGCATATCTTCATAAAAGATGACAATTGGGTAGGGAGGGAGCACGCCGCCAGCCTGGTCATCATGAAGGTATTGCTTATATTCCACAGAAGCAATGTGGTACTTGCTGGAACTGTTTTGAGTGGGAGTGCAAGACATCTTGTACGTTGTGGATAAGAGTCGAACTTTTTGACTGAGGGAGGACCGACAACTGGTTGCCTTTTTATCCTCCGGGAACTACATACCTGTGAGGATCCTCGGAAGCTCGCATGGGCAGGTCATGCAAGTATTTTCATATGACGATATAACTCAGAAAGAGCGAGCTCTGATGGAATGTTCTGTGAGTACCAGTGAAGCAGCTTCCAAGTGTAGAATGATTGAGTGACCAGAGCTTTCCACATCTACACCCCAAGTTCCAATTGGATTGCATCAGTATTATGAAAAGGACAAAGTTAGGGCACCAACTCGGATTGCATAATTGTGGAACCCGGAGATTAGACCAAGGATTAAAATCAATTCTTCTGAGTTGGAATCCTACTAGACACATGCTCAGCACATTTATCAGTAATTTACTCTGTTCAGATCTATCAACAGTAGGTACTGGAGTTGACCGAATTCTGCTCATATGAGATTTGGGGGTCCAAACCATGCCAAATGCACGGGAACATACCAAAGCAGTCGCGTTTGCAGCCTCTGAGCCATTTGTGAGAACGCAGAGATAAGTGTGTGTGGACCAAGGTGACATGGATCCATCGGTTGAGCTGGGCCAGGCATCGCTGCAGTGCAGCCACATGCAGGTTGACGTATGCTGGTGTCTCCAACCAGGAAGGTGTAGTCCAGGCTGTCATATTTGCCATTTCAGACTAGAGTGGTAGGTCACCATTGCAACTCCAAGGAACGAGGGTAGTGGTAGTCTCATTGCACAGCGGATGGCGAGATGATCAGGATATTGAGCATGGTGCTAGTGAAGATGCTGAATATAAAGTATTGACAAATGGGTGTAAACAGCAAGATCGAGGTTACCATATGTGGTCCAGTACAAGCCTGTCCATCGACTGCTGCATACAGAATCAATTACTCAACAATGAAACTGTATGTTTAACGTCTTCACCGAAGGCCGGTATCTTGGGGACTACCTGCATGTGTGGGGTTCACCTAGGTGGGTGTACTCCACTGGTCGAACGTAGTGAAGATCCGGAGACGAAAGCTCCCCTCAGGTCAAGTGCATGGAACGGCCTACGAGCGTCTGATTAATTGTTGTGTTGGAAATTCAGTCGCCACGTCTCGGGCTCTGCAAATCACACAAATCTACAATATGAAAAGAAGAAAGTTACGGCACCAACTCGGATTGCAATTGTGCAAACACGAGGCATGGTCGAAGTTCTGAAGTGGGCATAATTCAATCCTGCATGATGCATGTTCTCCCTCGAGTTGACCGGAGTGGGAGGGCAACTACTCAAATATCCAACTGGCACCCTGGAACGTGTTGTAGACATGTAAGATTACTAGACACACCATCTGGGAGTACATCTTATAGACGCCAAGTCACCACCTTCCAAATGAAGACGAACTCTGTGCATACAAGTAGCCCTCCAGATATCAAACATCAGTGATGAATCCTAGTGTCGTGGAGGTTGCTGTGAGTCCCTGATGTTTGTATTCATCTATCAACACTTTCCATTCAGCGTTTATCATGAGCAGAGATGATTTCACTGTCATGATTATCTCGCCATCTGCCTTGCAACGAGGCTGCCCTCATTCCTGGGAGTTGCACTGGTGGCTTGCGGCTTACATCTGAAATCACGAATTTGACAACTTGAGCTATCAGTACAGGTGGTGCAAGGGGTTGTTCAACATTTCTTCTGGGATATCTCCATATGATAACAGGTGGTTAGACTTGCTGCTGCATCCATGAAGCCGAAATTTTAGGGGTTATTTTCATCGTGCTCCACGCCATCACTTAGTGCCCTGGAATGTGTTTTAGACACTTATCGTTGGACACCCAGAGACTGCCTGTTTAGTTGCTCCACTGAAATCTTGCACCTAGCACATAGCAAATGGGTGGTGACTTTCTGCTAATTTCTGGCATCCATCATAGAGACATTTCACATGTCCTACAGGTGAGTTCAACCGTAAATGTGCCCAGTAGGATTCCATCCCAACATTCGTCCAATCTCCGGATCCCGCAATTATGCAATACAAGTTGGCGCCCTAACTTTATCCTTTTCATAACCGATGAACCTGATTGGGCCTCAAATGTGTGCCTCATCAATCGTGCTTCACTGGTATGCACAGAACATTCTGCCAGGGATTGCCCTATTTGAACATTAACAACTCCATCACCTGCCCACGTGGGCTTCCGAGGATCATTGCAGATATCCTGAAGGATAAAAAGGTGGCCAGTATCGGTCCTCCCCCAGTCAAAGAATTTGACTCTTATCCGTAAGATGCCTCACCCCCTCACTGATGCTCGAAATGGTTCCAGCGATTACCACATTACTTCTGTGCAATACGGGAAATATGTTCGTGATGTCCAGGCCAATGGCGTCCTTCCTGCCTATCCAATTGCCATTCTTCTATCTGGGGATGATGTTAACCCTCCAAAAGTTGTTCTCATCCCTCATACCATGCATGAGTTGACCAACCTTAGTATGTTGCCTAGTTTACTGTCACAGAAGCCAATGGGGACAACACCTACACCATGAAGGTCAATGAGAACACCATCCAGGAACTAGATGACCACGTCTTTTCCTTCGAAGATGGATGTACTGAGGAGTGGGTTATCATTTTCAGGGAAAGCGAGAGAGCATATACGTAAGTTTCTGGTGTTTGAGACCGATGAGATGGTCAGATGATGATATGACAATACCTAGCATCGAGAGGAAGGCTGATAGTCCCAAAGCATGGACTACTCCCTTGCTGCCCATACAGAAGGTGGATCATTATCTGCAGGTATGACTTGATGACACCCCTCTCGCATTTTGGACAATTGTTGTGACATTTGCATAGATTTTCCTTCAGCCCCTCCACGGAGACCCTCCTCATTCCCCTGACCAGCTATTCAAATTTGATCTCGTAGAAGTGTGAAGTGAACAAAGGTGGATTGGTACTGGTACGAAATGTAACCATAGGTGTTGTGTATGAGCAATAGTCAGTTGTCTGAATGTGCATCGTGCTTTGCCGACTTTATGAACATGACATCTCACAATCACAACTGACATCCATCTTGGGAAAGCATACTGTGCGAGGGTTTTCATCTTTGATGTACCGAGGCATTGGATATACCACATTTATAGGCTACTCGTACTTGGCATCATAAGCACTTAGCAAACCAGACAAAGGTGGTCCCCAACGACTCAAGGCAACTTGGCTCGCCTGGTAGAATAGAAGTTAGAGAACTGATTGATGGGGACGAATTTCATCTTACCTCCAACATGGAAAAAACTTTCTCAAGGCGGGCTCTCAACCCTGATGATCAGGGTGGGTCACTGGTTTTTGTCATGAGGACGGGGTGAGGAAGTCAAAGTTGTACAAATGACATATCGCGTATCTGGCGGGAGCAGTTACATATAACGCAGATTACATATTACTGGTATATGTATTGCGTGTATTGGGTGTATGGAGGACATTGATGTTTTTGAGTCTCCCATCTTCCATGGTATCCTTGAACCAACCAAGATCATCAACGATGAGATGCCTAGCCATCGCTGATGTTAGTTTGACACGCTCTTCGGAGCAGAGAGAAGTACCACACCGATTCTTACAATTAGGACACTGGATGATCATGATGCCACTAGCATAGGCACGCTTGGTGAACAAATGTGCAGAATGATGGTTACACCTCTCCACCATACAAGTAAAGGTAGTGAGCAGCTGTGGTTCAGGTAGGTCGACATTGGACTGTTTTGAAGTCACAAGGAGGAGGTGGTGGAGAGTTTCATGGCATCTGTGTTAGGTTGTTCTGGTCTTGCCTTGGAATCATTTGACTGGAAAAGGGACTGGAAGGTGGGCGACATGAACGAGGTTGCTTGTTGATCGATTGACGCATCCCCCATGTTGATGAGGACATCGCATTTTATGACGAGGTTACCGAAGACCAGTGCAAGAGAATTGTTTGGGGAAGACTGCAACTAAGATGACTTCATCGCCAACGATGGCATGAGTGGTCATGTGGACGATGGGATGGATGATTGGGTTCACGACCATGTGGGCAAGGACAAGGAAGACGAAAAGATCACACATGTAAGTGTGCCAATTACACATAATTATTGATCGAGGCATAGTGGGGATTCATCCAGTCACGAAGTCAAAGGTAACATCCAAGGCTCCACTCCCACCTATCTCGTTGACAAAGTGAAAGATAAATCTTGTGGCCATGGGTGTCGACATGTCTTGCTGTTGGCGGTGTGCAACGTAAGTTTCTGTTATTCCCCAAGGCTTACATGTTTGTTCGATAGCTTCCCCATTTTCCTAGCAACCGGTGGTGACTTCCAGGTGATATACTGCAAGATGAAGTACCATGATCAACACTGTTCGCAGATTCATCTGTACTGCTTCTCCTCCTTGCCATTAGGACATACCAGTGGACCGAGGCAAGTTGTGAGTCACTCCTGCACCATCCAATTTGCATCATTGGGTCCTGGAGCACCATCGTGGGGTCTGTCTCGGATATAGGTACCACCTTTTAGCTTCCACTTGAATTTGCAGAAATGCTTGATTTAACCCCAACATCTCTGTCTGGTCCATATGCCAAATGTGCTTCTGAAGCAGCTGAATTGTTTGACATATAGGTATGCGATCCTGCCATCCCAGCAGTATGTTAACGTCTCTACTTGCATGCTGAAGAAGCACCAAGAAGTATTAAATGACGACTTGCTCCTGTCAGTGAGTCAAGTCAAAATTCAAGAGATTTTTGTCTGGAAGAGGATCGCGAAGTTCACATGCTAATCATCGTAATTAATCATGCTAACATGTGGAGTGTGGATTACCTCCTCACTACTCATCAGCAAGCAGACTGATTTGTCCCTGATCGTCCCCCACCTGCTCCGTGATCTGCAGTGCTATCAAGGATCGGATCTCTTGTAGCGTCAATGCAGGATTGCCATCCGCCTGGTCCACGTTCCCGGCTGGTCAATTGATCGTGCTCCACTCAGTAATTCATTTTCCTAATGGTCTGTACTGTATCCTGCTCCAACCGTTTTCTCGAACGACCCTTCAATTTGTGGACCCGTTTTTCTAGATATAGCCTCGGCAATCTTGCTGAGGACTAAATTCCCAGGGCCGAGGGAGGGCAGACTACTGATCTCCACATCAAAATCACTGCTCGACAGTCTGCAGACTTGGGAATTAGTGTGGGAGAAATCATGGTCGATATCATTCAGAAAGTCCAGGTTGTTACCAAGGATATGGCTGGGTTGATGGCAAGTGTTCTTTTCATGTGACTTTGTGCCAGTGAAATCAAGTTTCTTGTGCAGACTTGAATGGCTCCACAACACATCCCCACCTAATTTAATTGCCCTCGTGCATCCTACCCAAGTCTGAGCATGTTTCTGAGGACATGTGAAGATGAATGGTCCTGCACCTCCCCCGAGACTGCTTGTTCAGTTGCTCTACTGAAATCTTCAACCTAGCACATTTGCGGTGTGCATTGTGGCTAGACAGGTAAATAGTGGGCCCATGCTCGCACAGTACATGCTTGCCTTGCAGCGAATCGGTTTTCCAAACCTTCATCCAGTACCCAGGAGGCTGGGTCGTGTTTTAGATATTTATGGTTGAACTCATCCGGCGAAGGGCATGTGAGATGTCCCATAGATGCCAGAGACCTTCTGCAAAAAGGTTGCTGTCCATTTGCTGCGCTCGCGATGTACTATGGGTACCAAACTGGTCTTTGATGCGCCATCCACGATGGAGTAGGATCTCAACTTAGAAGGACTGATTTTAATCCTTGGGCCAATCTCCAGATCGCATAATTATGCAAGCCGATCGAGCTGGCACCCTAACTTTGTCCTTTTCATATTCATTATTGATGAATCCAATTGAAACTTGGGGGCATGGCTCTGGAGGCTCTGGTCATTCGATTGTGCCACATTGAGAAGCTGCTTCACTGGTACTCACAGAACGTTCCATCACAGTTTGCTCTATTTGAGTGACATTCACATTCGAAAATACTTTGCATGACCTGCCTGCTGCAATCCATGGGCTTCTGGGGATCCTTGCAGGTGCGTAGTTCGCAGAGGATTAAAAGGCGACCAGCTGTTGTCCACTGGCCATCCCTCAGCCAAGAATTCGACTCTTCAAATCCACAAGATGACTCAAAATGGTTCCAGCGAATACTACATTACTTCTGTGGAACATCAACAGTTCCTTAGTGACGCCAAAGACAATGGCGTGCTTCCTCCCTACCCGATTGTCCTTCATCTTCCTAAAACTATGCCCCCCATGGCTATTCTCATTCCTTGCATCATGCATGGGGAGTTTACTGACTCTTTGTGCATTGTCTAGTTTACCATCATAAAACACGAGGGGGTCAACACTTACACCATCGAGCTCAATGGGAACACCATCCGGAACTTAGATAATTGTGTCAGTTCCTTCGAAGATGGACATACTGAGGAGTGGATTATCACTTTCAGGGAGGCCCATAGACCATATACATAAGTTTCTGGTGTTTGAGACTGATGAGATGGTTGAAAAATATAACAATACCTAGTGTTGAGAGGAAGGGTGAAGGCGGTTTGGCACGGACTGCTCCCCAGCTCGAGCCAAAAAAACCCTAATCCCTTGCAGGTATGACCCGATGTCAGCTCTCTAGCACTTCGAATGATTATTCTGACATATCTCCAGATTCTCCATGAGCCCCTCATCAGTAATCTATCAGACCCTCCTCAGTTCGACCCTGCCCATCTGTTTAAATTTGAGCTTACAAAAGAGTGAAGTGAACAAAGTGGATTTGGTACTGGTGAGAAATGCGACGATGGGTGTTGTGTATGAGCTATAGCCAGTTGCCTGAATGAGCGTCGTGCTTTGCCAATTTTATGAATGTGACCATCTCACAATCACAATTGACATCCATCTTTTAAAGCGTGCTATGCAAATACTGGTGCAGGTTTTCATCTTGGATGTACCCAAGCATTGGACATACTGCACTTATGGACTACCCATACTTGGCATCTTAAGCACTTGGTCAACCAGACAAAGGTGGTCCTCAACAACTCGACGCAACTCAATTTGTCGGTAGGACAGAGATCAGAGAGCAGTCTACTGGGCGCAAAATCCATCTGACCTCCAACACAAAAAAAACGTTCTCGAGGCGGGCTCTCAACACTGATGATTAAAGTGGGTCACTGGTTCTTGTTACGAGCAGCCAACATATGAGTTTCCTCCAGTTGGCACATTTGATGGATGCGAGGGAATGAGGAAGTCAGGATAGTATGAATGTCACATCATATATCAATGTATGTATTGTATATAGTGGGTGTCTCTGGCTCTGCATAAGAAAGTGAGGCAGACGTCACGGAATTTAAAGACACCGATGTACCTGCAAGTGGTCCACAAATTTGATATCACCATCTGTCGAGTCCAGTTTTGCTTTGCAAATGCTCTCCCCACATACATGGAGGACATTCTCGTTGAGTTCTCGAGTTTCCTGCATTCAATAGGCCCATTGAACTAACCAAGATTATGCCTTGGCCAGTTCCACACGGTACAGCGAATGTGGTTGCATAGCGTTCTTGAGCCACCTTGAGGCCAACATGGTTGTTTGGGTTGTTTTGGGGGCAGAGGTTGAAAGGAAATGGGACATGCGCTCAAGTCACAAGTCACAAGTAAGAGGCGACTGGAGATAGCAGAGAGATCCCACAGAGGTGACAAGCGAGCTTGTCGATCGATTGACGCGTTTCCTAGACTGATGAGGACGTTGCGTTACATATACCACAAGATCAGTGGAACAGCAGGAGGTGGCCCCGCAAGCAAGGAGCTGAGTGATCTGTACTCTTCTCCTGCTTGACTAAGCATCCCTCCCCTCCCTACTCCACCAGTACAAGAGTATCGTGCAGAGTTGATGGCAAACAGTATGTGGGTCTCGACTCTTGAGTACTTCTGGCTCTATGCCCATCCTCTCACTGCATTGAAAACCTTCAAGGGTCCAGAGATCCTTACACACACATGTGAATTGGCAGAAAGTCTGGTCCTACAAAATCACTATATCGGTGACCCCATGGAGTCAGCCAGTCCTGATGGTTTTTCTGGGTCATATACGCAGATACCAATTCCATCTTCATCAATATTTTCCAACGTCACAGAGCTCTTGGAGTGATTTTTTTTGACATTTGGCCGTGTGCTTACCTGTGAAGCAGTGCAAATCATTGATCAATATGTGATGTAGCTTTGGGAACTGCCAACATTACAAGTAAATAAGGACGGTTTGAACTTGGAACATCAGGGCGACACTGGGAAAGTCACGGGACTACTGTCATATCGACGGTTTGCATGCCAGGTTAATCATCGAACTCATCTCACTGCAGCGACCGTGTCACTAGGGACACTGTGACCCTGTGCTCTGGCGATGAAGTTGGCCCTTGCACCAAGGTCATCTAAAAGTATGTTTGACATTGGACTTGTTTTTGGTAGCGCCATGGACTTTCTGAATGATGCTGAATACGATGGTATGTAGATGAATTTCTCAATTCTTACTTGCTGACATCTCCATCTCAGCACACGTACAGGTGTCTACAATCGCAAAGTTCCGAGGACCTTTGAAATGCAAGGATCAGAAGTTCCGTGTTTCCCTCCATTCAAAGATGCCAACCTAGTACAATCGTAGATACCATCGCACTGGGACTAGATGGGCATTTGGTTCGTACGATATAGTAGTTTCGTACCCATTCTATGCCACGGGAAAGGCACTGGTGTGGCAGATCAATCGCTGGTGCCTATACGATCCCCAAGAGGTAAGTTTAAGATCTCCAGGACACGTGCCAAGTCATGTAGTAATTTCTTGGATAGGATGTCCTTCACATTGCAAACTTGTGTGACGGCATGAAACATGATTTGGTTACAACTTACACCGGATCTAGGACAGATTTTGCACCTTCGTTCTGTCTTCGGCTTCCACAATATGCAATACACGTTGGCGCTCAAGTCCTCATGCATGGTGCCGTACTTCTGGCTTCCCATTGATTGCTCTATCTTGGTATGTTGTGAAGATACTTCCTCGGTATGTGCAGAACATTCCATAGCCCTGACGGGGTGGAATCCACTCCCGTTTGTGAATGCATACACATGAGCCACCAGTGCATGACATTCATGAGAGAGTCGGATACTGATACAATGATACCTAGCTCCGAAAGGAGGGTTGGACTTCTTACATGAAGAGCCTGAGCCTGAGCGTCAGGTATGGTCCACTGCTTCTCCCACACGTGGGATGCCTCTGGGAAGACTTTTACGTTGGCGGCACGAATAATGTTTGTTTTCCGTGCTTGTGCAAGTTATACACTCAATGGAAATCAGCATAAACATGGTTGGTCATCCCCATTGCCCAAGCTAAGGTGGCCCATCCCTCGCCCCGACGACACTTCATTGGATGATTTGCTACACCCAATCTCAGACAGATTTTGTGGCTTCGTCCCATCTCTGGCCTCCGCAATGTCCAATGCAAGTTGGCGCTCAAGTCCTCCTGCGTGGTGCTGCACGACTGGCTTATCGATTACTCCACCTTGGTGTGTTGCTTCTTCTGTACTTGCAGAACATTCCATCAGAGCTTGTTCTAATGGAGTAGTTCGAATATGAAAGTAGTCCCATGACCTGATGGGGTCGGATTCAAGGGTTTCCGAAGACCATGAGGGTACCCAGTCCTCAGAGGATAAAAGGGCGACTGACTATCAGTGCTTCCCCCAGTCAACGTACTCGACTATTATTTTCAACATGATGCACAGGCTCCATCCTGGCATGTACCAGATCATCTCTGTGGCATACAAGGAAGACCTTGGTCTTTCCCGATTCACAAACCCCATTTACCCCCCACCTCCTGTTCCAGTTGTAGTCCTTCCCGATGGAGTATTGCCTCCTAAGGTAAATCTGATCCCGGTATTATTTACAAGGAGTTGATTGATCTCGATTCACCCAGTTTATCGTCGAGCTGGGCATAGATGAGCCGGAGACCTATCTCATCAAGGTCCAGGAGGACATGAGTCCAGTAATCAAGAACACCTGCAGTGTTCCCGGTCCAGAGGATCCTCGTCTACTTGATCCTCGCATCTTCGCCTTCGAAAATGAACCTGCTGAGAAGTGAGTTGTCCTCCACAGAGAGGATGATGAGGATGATGACATATACACGTAAGTTATTAGTGCTTAGTATTGACGAGAGAGTGAGATACTGATACAGTAATCCCTAGCATCGAAAGGAAGCCTGGGTATGGAAATCTTGCATGGACTGCTCCGCAGCACGAAGAGCCCAAGCCCAAGCGTCAGGTATGATCCACCGCTTCTCCCACATGTGAGACATTTATCCATAGCATATTTCCAGATTCTCCTCCATGAACTGATCGTCAAACCAACTGACCCTCCTACTTTCGATCCTTTCGAGCTGTTCAACTTCCAATTTGTACGCCCAGTAGTACCCCCAGCATGACGTGCAGATGGCAATTATGTACTCCTGTCCGAAATGTAACAATATGTGACCAGTACTGCCCAAAGAATGCTGTGTGATGACTTGATTGTACTTTGACTCCTGTGTGTGTCGAACCACTAGTGGTCCCTCTTCACGGTGCCTGCCTTTTTGTGATCACTCTCCACCTAGTCTCCCATAATAGGCAGACTACAGACTCGATGGAAGACAATCACTCCCAGCCATTCCCCCATTCTGGAATTCCAAATCATGACGAAGCATAATAACCACGATTGGCATCCATCTGTTGACAGCGTACTGTGCAAATGCTGGTGCAGGTTTTCAACTTTCTGATGTATGCACCCAAGTATTGGACATGGCAGATTTACAGGCCACCCATACCTGGGCCAACATTCTAAGCACTTGGCCTACCAGACGAAGGTGGTCCCCCATGACTCAACACGACTCAGCTCGCATGCTAGAGGACCTCCAACACGAAAAGAACCTTCTCACAGCAGGCTCTCAGCGCTGATGATGAGGGCGGCTCGCTGGTTCTTGCCACGAGCATCCGACATATGAGCTCCTTCCCTCCAGTTGGCGCATTCAATGGATGCAAGGGAGTAAAGGAGTCAAGGTTGTATGAATAATGCATCACGTATCTGGCAGGAATGGTTTTTAAATGCAGATTACATATTATAGCGTATGTATGGTTTGGGGTGAGTGTCTCTGGGCACTGCGAAAGAAAACCAGTCAGAAGTCACGGAATTCTGGGAAACCGATGTACCTGCTAGTGGCCCATGAATTCGATATCACCATCTATTGAGTCCAGTTTCACCTTGCGAATGTTCTCTCCATGTGTACGCAGGATATCCTCGATGTTCTTGAGTTTCCCGGCTTCCATGGTATCCTTGAACCAACCAAGATTATCAGCGATAAGATGCCTAGCCTCGTTGTTGATGTTAATTGGATACGCTCTTCAGAGCAGAGAGAAGTACTGCACTGATTCTTACAGTTAGGACACTGGATGATCACGATGCCACTAGCATAGGCACGCTTCGTGAATGAGTGTGCAGAACAATGGTTACATTTTTCCACTGTACAGGTAAACGCAATGAGCAGCCGTGGTTCAGGTGGGTTGGCATCGGACTGTTTTTGGGTCGGTGAGGAGGTTGTGGAAAGTTTCGTGGTGTCTATGTTAGGCTGTTCTGGTGTTGCTTTGGAAGCAATTGCCCGAATGCTATCTGCAGGCCGTAGTCTTGACTGTGAAGATACTACTGCCCTGGCCGATGCTGCACGGTACAGCGAATGCAGTCGCACAGCGTTCTTGAGCCATCTTGAGGCCAACATGGTTGTTTGAGGTTGTTTTTGGGGGCAGAGGTTGAAAGGAAACGGGACACGCGCTTGTGGCGTGTATCTGTGGCTGTAACTGGCAATATGGCAGAGCGATCACGCTGAACAAAGGGAAATACAGACAAGTTTGCAGCGTACAAACATGCATGAGAAGGTGGGAAAAGGGACTGGAAGGTAGGCGGTGTGAAGGAAAGAGCCTGTCGGTCGATTGATGCATCACCTAGGTCGATGAGGACGTTGCATTATACGACAAGGTTACTGAAGACCAGTACAAGAGTATCGTGCGGGGAAGATTGCAGGAGGACGATTTCGTCGCTGACGATGGCATGAGCGGTTACATGGACAACGGGATGGACGATTGGGGTCACAACAATGTGGACGAGGAGGAACGATCACACTTGACCAGGAGATGTAAGTCTGCTACACGATGTGGTCACTAGCTATTGATCGAAACGTGCATTACAGCCAAGAAGAGAACTGGGGATGCTGTCACCAAGTCAAAGGCGAAATCAAAGGCTCCACCTCCACCCGTCGTGCAGCCTTCGATCAGCATGTATCGTCCAGCTGTATCCACCGAACAGGAAAATGATTTTATGGCGAACCTTCCTGAAGGCATTGAGTCAGATCCAAGTCTCACTCCAAAGAGGACAAAGAAGAGGAAACCCTCGCTGTCGTCTGATTATGACAACGTGAAACCTGTTATTGATTCCTTGCCTGTTCTGTACAGAGAACAGAAGAGTTCTAAGAACTTTAACTACGACCCTTACTCGTCTGATGGTATGCCTGACGACCTAGGTTCATCTAACCCACCCTCCAGTGACCTCATCTCCGAAGACAACATCGTACATGTGCCAGCAGAATTTGCTGCAGTGCTTAAGAACCTCTCAGCAGTCCTTGGGGCATGGGCCCAGGGAGACACTAAGCATGGTCACTGCACGACAACACAACCAATCACTTCAAAATGTGCCACCTCGCAATACCATGTTCAACTCGAAGGAAGTTTCAGTGGAGAAGGAGGAAGTCAAGAGCCATATGTTCCCACTATCGGAACGTTACCCTTTTACTTTCAAGCTTATGCTGCACAAACTTTACGATTTAGACGAGTGGGTGGCCAAAGTCAAGAACGCTTTGGAGGTGTCCAAATCGCAGTTCAAACCATTGGCGGAGAAGGTCGAGAGTGTAATGAGGGAAGCTAGGGGAAAGGAGAAGGCGATGGATCGTAAAGGGGTTACTCGAGCGCGAAGTTGTGCCTTGTTAGCGACTGGGGGGAAGTCGAGGGGCTCTGTTATGCCACGCGAGCATGCGAAGAGTATCGCACACAACGAAGGGGACCGGGCGCTGAATAAAAGGTGTGTGAGGAGACACAAGTTGGTCAGTGGCCCAATGGAGGCGAGCGTGTGGGTATACGATGCAGCGATCTCAGCTGTGGAGGTCAATGGACCTTGTCCCACCATGGAGATTACACTTTCAAAGATGACAAATAGGCCCTCCGGTCAAGATAGTCATATGCGACATCAGTCATTAGCGGGGTTGGAAGGGATTCGTGCTTGTGACACAGTGAGGAGAAAAGTGAGAATTGAAGTTCCTATTCCTCGCAATGAGGATCACAAGGCTGCCTATTCACCCAGGTCACCAATGCAAGACGTGGTCTTGCTCGTGGAACGTTCAAAGTTTGAGAGCGTTCATGTGAAGGATATCCCAAGGAAGTGGAGAGTGATGGAGTTGGTTGACAATTTGGGGGGCATAGTTCGGCCAAGATGGCATGGACATGGACACGGACATGTGGACCTTTCATGAGCTTGTTGGACTCTTCTTTACAGTGTATATCTTCTGTTTTATAACTTACTTCTTTGTTGTAATGCTGTGTAGATAGTACTGTAGATACGTGGGTGTGGCCCTCATGATTGTGGTTGAGAGTGAAGTTTCGCATGTGTATTCGGTTACGGTCAGTTACATGTTCAGTCCATCTGAGTCTCCGAATCACACACAACTTGTCACCACCATCTCCTGCTCAGGTTTTCCAACTCGTTTGGTAGCTTGTAGGTCGCCCCACCTCGCCAGAAGACTTGGAATATTGGATACCATTAGGTACTGCAGTGCCTATACATATGTATTAGTTCAGAAGGACTTCACAGAAAGGTCTTGTCAGTTGGCCTTCTGCACTTTGCACTTCCGTCCAATGGGAAGAATTGGTCGTATACAAACTTTCAGCTCAAGCACCACCAGGCTCATCATTTCAACAGTGTGCGTGTCTTGAACAACATAGCTAAGAACTTGGCCCACTGCAGAGAAATACTATTGGCCTGGGTAAACGAGCGTGAAGATGTACTCGACAGTCGAAAGAATGCGAAAGGACTACCTACTGAGGTTTTGGAAAGCCATTCCACCGTGTCGAAATGTGAAGGTCTACAAGTTCTTGTTAGAAGCGGATCCTTTTGGACTACCTACTCACCAGCGAGAGTTATGGTAACTAACGAGTGGTTTATCTTGGGGGCACATTGGTTCGCCAGAGCGCTTGTTGGCATCCCTGTTCGCATAGTCCCATGATGCCTTATGTCCACGAGGTCCTGGGGCTCTGGGCGACTCGGATTCAGACAGGATTCGAACAGGACACAGCGTGTTCACCCAGTGACCTATCAGAGCAGCACTGTTTCCTTGCTAGCTTTAGGATCGACCTGATGGATCCATCCTCTGCGCTCCAGGAGCTTGCTATTCAGGCAGTCCCGATACAGCATCAATCTAAATGGCGAAATCAGTCTCAATCAGGGCAAGATACCTCTGCGGGGCAAGTACCTGCCATTGTTTACAAAGGTACTTTGACTTCAGGGCAGTATGGAAGTGGCAGTCAAAACCTTCCATGGCACACCCCCTGGGGATCTAGATCCTCTCAAGGTATTGAATGAGTTCAGTGGAGGTTGAGCACCTTCGGATTGACCTTTCTATTGCTATTTAGCATATCCTTCGAGAGGTCCACCTTTGGTCGAAGCTCCATCATGACAATGTTGTCCACATGATTGGGATTTCTATGGAATTCGGCTCCACGATTTCGATAGTATCTGATTGGATGTTGTCGGGCTGATGCCCATTCTTATGTTCAAAATAAGGAGAATGATCCTTCGCCCGTTGGTGAGTCGAGGAGAGCGTTCATTTGCATAGCACTTTACATGTGTTTTTAGCTCATGGATATCGCAAGTGGCCTGTAGTACCTCCATAGCCATCCTCTGGGGCCGATATTCCATGGAGACCTGAAAGGTGCAAGTATGGTCATTCTCAGTACCTGCAGCTGACAAATCTACTTGATAGCTTAATGTACTGGTGTCCAGTGATCGTCGAGCACTACTTAGTGACTTTGGTCTTTCCACCCTCCAAAAATCTACCTTCAGCATGACAGGTTGTTGCTCCTCATGGAGGATTCATACCCTTGGATGGCTCCGGAGCTCCTGGATGACTACAATGCGTCTACAGAAGGGGACGTGTGGGCATTTGGAATGACTGTTTTGGTATGTTTCTATATTCTTGTTCTGCAAGAAGTTCATTGTCTCTGTGATGAAGGAGTTGTTTACTCGACTAATACCTTTCCATGATTGTCCGCATTTTGCCAATGTGATGCATAGGTTAGTGATGGGACGACTGCCACGTTCGTCCCTCTGAGGAATCCACCCTTTCCCGCATGACAGATGCATGGTGGGAAATATGCACATCGTGCTGGCGACGTGAACCTTCAGCACGTCCCTTGATGAAGGACCTGATAGAGACAGGTCAAGGGGAGCTACGGTCTGTGCTTCGGCACAATCAACCAATTTCTTTGCATTCTGACTGAGTTTGCAGTACCAAGCTGGTTCCGTTTTGATGCCTCCGAAAGCCTCTCTCCCCATAGTGCCATTCTCAAAAGATGTCATGGTCTGTCCGCTGCAATCCCTGGAAAATATTATCAGTTCTGACCCATTGCTTCAGCCACATCTGTCACCCCTTCGAGATAGTCAACCTTGGCGATCAACTTCAGTTATGCTTCACGACTTTCTACCATCAGTGTACTGGTGAGTACATTGAGTAAGTAAACCTACTGGCACACCGCTCACACAGTGCTGGGTGCTTTTTTAGGTGCTGAAAGGGCATACTGACAAGGTTTTGTCAGTTGCCTTCTCACCTGATAGAAAACAGCATCGTGTCGGGTTCTGCTGACAACACAATTTGTCTGTGGGATATGCAATCTGCACACACAAATTGGCTCTCCGCTCAAAGGCCATGCAGGGGTGGGTGCGGTCAGTTGCATTCTCGCCAGACGGGGAATGGGTTGTGTCAGGTTCTTATGACAAGACTGTTTGTCTGTGGGGTATGCGCAGGAGCATGCCAACATGCTCACCTCTCTGAGGGCACTCATCGAAGGTCTTGTCAGTTGCAGTTTTCATCGGATGGGAGGATTGTGGTCTCTGGTTCTACTGACAAAACAATTCGTTTATGGGATGTTCACGTTGAAGCCCCATCTGGCTTGCCACTTGAAGGCCATACTGGTGCATGTGCAGTCGGTTGCAGTGTCAGGAGATGGCACCAGGATCGTGTCTGGCTCTCATGACAAAACCAGTTCGTCTGTGGGACACAGAGACCAGAGCACAGCTGGAAGATGCCCTAGAAGGCCACACTGGCATGGTTTACACAGTCGCTTTTTCACCGGACGGCCACATGGTTGTGTCGGGTTCCGAGGACAATACTCTCTGCTTATGGGACGCACGCGCTGAAATAGCAGTTGGTCATCCTCTGATAGGACACAGTGGGGCAGTGAATTCAGTTGCATTCTCGCCGGATGGAATGTGGGTGGTATCAGGTTCTGTAGATACCAATGTTTTTCTGTGGGATGTTCGCACAGGTGTTCAGGTGGGCACAGCTCTGAAGGGGAATGCTGGATGGGTTCGTTGTGTTGCGTTTTCACCTTATGGCAGGGAGATTATTGCAGGGACTGAGGACAGGAGTATCTGCCTATGGAATGCAAGAGTACACTAGATGATCAAATCCAGAAAATACATATGTGGAAGGGTAATAGGTATATATATCCGTGCATGCACATATTCTGCGCATGGGGTTATAAATGTGATTCCAGACGCAGAACTTCTGGGTCATGTTCAACCGTGTCTGCACCTGATAGTGACACCTACATGTATGGCGTGCCACACTATCATTCTTATTGCCCCATCACAGTACGTCCCCATCCGCGCTCGGCTCATATCTCCCCTTGAGCCGAGCATCTTATAAGATGTCTGCATGTAGAACCTGTAGAATTTTGTGAGTTGCTAATCACCAGGCCGGTCACTAGACTAAGCAGGGGTTTATTCTGGATGCCAGCTTGTCTAGTACTGGAGCTTGGGTGGCAAGCTGCTGATGACGGGTTCTGCTAGCAGGCGGTTTCCTCATCCGAGCCAAGCTGTCGCCTCCGCTTAGTCAGCGCCTGCAAACCTGTTTTTTCAAGCTTCTAGATTTTAATCCCGTCAACACTAAGACATCCTATACCTGTGATATTAAGACCCAGACACATGTTAAACCCGTCTTCACATATCAAGCCCTCCAGTGTCTCCCCATTTCCAATAGTTAGAACAATTGCATGCACAAGTGGATGTGGAGGTGGAGTGTAGAGGAACGGGTTCCTGCTGATGCGATCCTCACAGACCTTGTCGAAGTGGGCACTAAGGAACAAGTTCTGGCACTTGCTGTATTGGTAGCAGTCAAATTAGAGCATGGAAACCAAAGTATGTACATACGTATCCATCAAATTGAGTGTGGTTTCGGTTATTTCCCAAGGCTTATATGTTAGTTGTCTAGCTTCCCCATTTTCCCAGCAGCCGATGACTTCCAGATGATGACTCACATACTGCATGAGAAGTGTTGTGGTCCGCACTTACTTTTCACGGATTCATCCCTGCATTTACCATTAGAGTATGCGATTGGACTAGGGCAATTTGTAAGTTACTTCTGCACCATCCAATTCGCATCTTTAGGCTCGAGATGCTGTCGCCGCAGGGGTCCCTTCAGGTACAGACACTCTGACTGACTCCCTCCTCTGGTCTATGGTAAGTATGTTACATAACATCTCCACTTGTACATATGCTAAAGAAGTGCTGAGGACCACTAAACGACTAGTTGTTCCTGTTAAGGGCAGGAGTCAAGTGGGAATGGAATGCGAGAGATAATGTCTAGAAGAGTTCGTTGTCTACTGTGACGCTGTAGTGGAAGTAGGGGAATCGCGAAGTTCATATGTGACCGTAAAACAATCACACTGACATGCTCTCCAGCTCCATGGTCTGTAGTGCCTGCAGGCCATATCTGGAATTGAATCACCTGTGGCGTCATTCGCCGCCTGCCTCATCATCATATCCACTGATTGACTGTTCCGATTTGATCATGCTTCACTTGATAATTCATCCACTGGAAACCATCTCTTGGGAATTTTACAGCTTTGCTAATGGCCCTTACTGAGTCTTGCCCTAACTGTGTGCCCAATTGGGTTTGTAATTCGTGCGCTGGTTCTTCTGGACATAGCCTCAGCAGTAGCTGAGGACCACACTCGCCATCGCAATGCTGGAGTCAGATACTAACATCTAGACTGCAGGAAATATGTAGAGCTGGGGAATCCAAGATTCATGACCACCATTAAATGACTCTTGTCACTTTTTGGGTACTGGTCATTTCATGTTCTACTCATGGCACATGCAGATTCGTGCTCGAAGCAGACTTCCTCGCTCATGCAAACAATTCATTGCATGTAAATTCTGAATGATGATAGTCAAAGGGTCAGGGGTCGGGTCAGTAATGCAAATCTGATTATGGACTTGCATGAGTACTTGGAGAAGGACTCCACATCGTATTTGTAACTTCACATGGATGTCGGGTCACTTTGTCCACATTCACTTCTTTGGTTGCAGTCGAGCATATCATATCACCCTTGCGTTATTCCCCAAGTGGGAGAAATGTAACCACAGAAAGCCAGGTATCATGAGTTCGAGAATGGAGAACAACTGACTCAGACTCTGGATGGAAGGTGCACATGGCAAATTGCAATCCACATTCAAACAACTGACCATAGCTCGACACAACACCTATTGTTACATTTCTCAATAGTGCTGAATCCACCTTTGTTCACTTCACTTTTCTATGACTCAAACTTGAACAGCTGGGAAGGGAGGAACTGGGGAGGGATTGAATATGTACAGACGAGGGGCTTGAGGAGAATCTGGAGACGTGTCAAGATGATCATCTGAGATGCGAGGGAACTGCCACCGGGTCATACCTGCAGGGGATTAGAAGGTCTGTCCGGCTCGAGCTCGGGAGCAGTCCATGCCAAACTGCTTTCAACCTTCCTCTCGATGCTAGGTATAATCATCAGCCAACCATCTCATTGGTCTCAAAGACCAGAAACTTACGTATATGCTCTCTCGTGTTGCCTGAAAATGATAACCCATTCCGTAGTACTTTCATCATTGTAGGAAATGACACGGTCATCTAAATTGTGGACCATGTTCTCATTGACTGTGATGGTGTAGGTGTTGATCTCATTGCTTTTTGTGACGGTAAACTAGGCAACACATAAAGGTCAGTCAACTCATTGTGCATGGTAGAGGAATGGGAATAACTTTGGGAGGCAGAATAGGTGTATCAAGAAGGACAATTGGGTAGGGAGAGAGCACGCCACCAGCCTGGTCATCGCCAAGGTATTTCTCATGTTGCACAGAAGTAATGCAGTACTTCGCTGGAACTGTTTTGAGTGGGAGTGGGAGACATCTTGTACGTCGTGGATAAGAGTTGAATCTTTTGACTGAGGGAGGACCTGACAGCTGGTTGCCTTTTTATCCTCCTGGGAACTACATACCTGTGAGAATCCTTGGAAGCCTGCATGGGCAGGTCATGGAGGTATTTTCATATGACAATATGACTCAAAAAGAGCAAGCTCTGATGGAATGTTCTGTGAGTACATGGTGAAGCAGCTTCCAAGTGTAGAACGATCGAGTGACCAGAGCTTTCCACATCCACACCCCAAGTCCCAATTGGATTGCATCACTATTATGAAAAGGACAAAGTTAGGGCGCCAACTCAGGATTGCATAATTGCGGAACCCAGAGATTAGACCAAGGATTAAAATCAATCCTTCCAGGGTTCAAATCCTACTAGACGCATGCTCTGCACATTTATCAGTATTTTCTCTGTTCAGATCTATCAACAGTAGGTACCGGAGTCAGCTGAATTCTGCTCATATGATATTTGGGGGTCCAAAGTACGCCAAATGCATGGGAACGTACCACAGCAGTCGCATTTACAGCCTCTGAGCCATTTGTGAGAATGCAGAGATAAGTGCATGTGTGGACCAAGGTGACATGGATCCATCAGTTGAGCTGGGCCAGGCATTGCCCGCAGTGCAGGGCACAGTGCAGGTTGACATATGCTGGTGTCTCTAACTAAGAAAATGTAGTCCATATCAAACCCGTCCAAGCTGCCAGATTTGCCATTTCAGACTAGAGCGGCAGGTCACCATTGCAACTCCAAGGAACACAGGTAGCCTCATTGCGCAGTAGATAGCGAGATGATCGAGATAGTGAAATCATCGTGCTAGCGAAGATGCTGAACGTAAACTATTGATAAATTATGGGTGCAAATGGCAGGTTCGAGGTTACCATATGTAGGTTCAGTATAAGCCTGTCCGTAGCCTGCTACATGCGGAATCAAAAACTCAACAACGAAGGTCACTCACACTAATCTCGAGGACATGTTAGGATTTGTCACCCTATGTTTAACATCTTCACCGAAGTGCTGCAGGGTTCATCTTCATTTGAAAGGTGTGTATTCCACATCAGATGTAGCAAAGATCCAAAGACGAAAATTTTCTTTGTGTCAAGTGGATGGAAACTGCCTATGGGCATCTAATTGTTCGTGCTGGAAATTCGGTTGCCATGTCTCAGGCTCTGCAAATCGCACAAATCTACAATATGAAAAGAAGAAAGTTACAGCACCAACTCGGATTGCAATTGTGCAAACACAAGGCATGGTCGAAGTTCTGAAGTGGCCATAATTCAATCCTGCAGGATGCACAGTTCTCCCTCGAGTCGAACTGGAGTGGGAGGGCAACTACTCAAATATCCAACTGGCACCCTGGAATGTGTTGTAGACATGTGAGGTTAGACATACCATCTGGGAGTACATCTTATAGACTGCCAAGTCACCACCTTCCAGATGAAGATGAACTCTGTGCATACAAGTAGCCCTCCAGATATCAAACATCGGTGATGAATCCTAGCATCGTGGAGGTTGCTGTGAGTGTTGGTCTCAAACCTTTGCTCTCGAGCTTCTGATTCCAATGCAGCCTGTCCGAGACAGTCAGGCTTGTAGTACCCAACTACGGTAACTATGACCCTGATGTTTGTATTCATCCTATCAACACTTTCCAGTTCAGCATTTATCATGAACAGAGATGATTTCACTGTCATGATTTTCTTCGCCATCTGCCTTGCAACGAGGTTGCCCTTGTTCCTGGGAGTTGCACTGGTGGCTTGCAGCTTAAGTTGAAATGGCAGGATTTGACAACTTGGGCTATCAGTACAGGTGACGTGAGGGGTTGTTCGACCTTTCTTCTGAGATATCTCCTGTATGATAACAGGTGGTCAGACTTGCTGCTGCATCCGTGAAGCCGAAATTTTAGGGGTTCTTTTCATCATGCTCCATGCCATTACTTAGTGCCCTGGAATGCGTTTTAGACACCTATCATTGGACACCCGGAGACCACCTGTTTAGTTGCTCCACTGAAATCTTGCACCTAGCGCATAGAAAATGGGCGGTGACTTTCTGCTAATTTCTGGGGTCCATCATAGAGACATTTCACATGTCCGACAGGTTAGTTCAACCATAAATGTCTAAAATACGTTCCAGATGGACCTTCACAATGCATAAATGCACCAAACGTATGCCCAGTAGGATTCCATCCCGACATTTGTCCAATCTCCAGATCCCGCAATTATGCAATACAAGTTGGGGCCCTAACTTTATCCTTTTCATAACCAATGAACCTGATTGAGCCTCAAATGTGTGCCTCATTGATCATACTTCACTGAGAAGCTGCTTCACCAGTATGCACAGAACATTCCGCCAGGGATTGCCCTATTTGAACATTAACAACTCCATAACCTGCCCACATGGGCTTCCAAGGATCATTGCAGATATCCTAAAGGATAAAAAGGTGGCCAGTATCAGTCCTCTCCCAGTCAAAGAATTCGACTCTTATCCACAAGATGCCTCACCCCCTCACTGATGCTTGAAATGGTTCCAGCAATTACCACATTACTTCCATGCAATATGGAAATATGTTTGTGATGTCCAGGCCAACAGCGTCCTTCCTCCCTATCCAATTGCCATTCTTCTGTCTGGGGATGATGTTAACCCTTCAAAAGTTGTTCTCATCCCTCATACCATGCATGAGTTGACCAACCTTAGTATGTTGCCTAGTTTACCATCACAGAAGCCGACAGGGACGACACCTACACCATGAAGGTCAATGAGAACACCGTCCAGGAACTAGATGACCTGCATCTTTTCCTTTGAAGACGGATGTACTGAGGAGTGGGTTATCATTTTCAGGGAAAGCGAGAGAGCATATACGTAAGTTTCTGGTGTTTGAGACCGATGAGATGGTCGGATGATGATATGACAATACCTAGCATCGAGAGGAAGGCTGATAGTCCCAAAGCATGGACTACTCCCTTGCTGCCCATACAGAAGGTGGATCATTATCTGCAGGTATGACTTGATGACACCCCTCTCGCATTTCAGACAATTGTTGTGACATTTGCATAGATTTTCCTTCAGCCCCTCCACGGAGACCCTCCTCATTCCCCTGACCAGCTATTCAAATTTGATCTTGTAGAAGCATGAAGTGAACAAAGGTGGATTGGTACTGGCATGAAATGTAACAATAGGTGTTGTGTATGAGCAATAGTCAGTTGTCTGAATGTGCATCATGCTTTGCTGACTTTATGAACATGATGTCTCACAATTGACCCCATGTAGTCCATTTAGTCACAACATATAGGTAGCCTGCATGCCAAAATGCCAACACTTATATAGACCCTGCGATGGGCCCATCTAAATAGATTAGCCATGACACATGGACAGGCCTGAGGGCCTATAGTGAGAGCAACATACATATGGGCCTGTAAATGCAATTCCACAACATATGGGAGGGCCTGTGGAGGGTAAGGATGCTGCAACATATAGACAGGCCCATGACCAAGTAAGTATGCTAAGCTACTGTAAGACATGCATGGGCATGCCTATTGTATCATGAAGAAGGTTGCAACATATGGATGGTGTTACATTTTACCCTTACTTACTCTTTTCTTCCCTTGTGTTTACCTTATGCTCGATCCATTGGACTGTTCTTTCCTTTTTGAGCTGTCTTCTCGTTGATCTGATGACTCCTTATTTCCACCAGTAGCATTATCACCTCATTACATGTGTAGAATGTGTGTCACCATTGTTCAACCAATGGTGTAGTTACCTTGTTACATGCGGACCCCTCATGGTTTGCCTCTTGTACAGTATTTAGTCTGCCAGCTCAAGTCCTGGAAACCCAGACTTGAGCTGCTCAATCATACACAGTGTTCTCAGAACTTCACCCTCAGTATCCCTAACCCAGATCACTCTTACCAGCATTGCCTCAAATCCTCTGTTGTTTACAAAGGTTACTGCAGCTGTTTTCTCAGTAGAAACCCATTGTCTGCATTTGAGCTCTCCCTACATCTTGACTTCAGTCAAGTGTAACAAAAGCTCAAGTCTGCTAGCCTTTGGCCAAATTGGTCACTGTTTAGTGCACCACCACAAACCCCTGAAACAATTGATGTTGGGCACCATTGCAACCCACTCATGAAGAATCGTCATCTGATGAAGAACAGGAGAGCACTGTCACTGACACCTCCTCCAACAAACCTGAACAACTGGATAGAGGATTTACCTCAGGTATCCTCTCAAATCTTTTCACCCAGTCTCTTGTTACACTCGGTACTCCCATCCCACCAGTACCCACCACCACTTTTCCTACACCCCCACCTTTACCACTGAATATGATGTCTGGTTCATCATTGAAGGCAACAGTTGGCACTGTTGCCACCAAAGCCACCAAACTGAAGATTGGTGCTCCATCTGATTTTGATGGAGACCAGAAGAAGGCCATGAGTTGGCTGTACTCTGTACAGACCTATCTCTTGGTAAATGAAGAAATTTATGACAATGACACCAAAAAGGTTGTCTACACCTTGTCATATATGAAGAAAGGAGTTGCTCGTTCATGGGCAGCTACCTTCCAGAAAACCTCTCTGGAAAAGAACCCCCTGAGTTTTGGCTCTTTTGCTGATTTCATGAAAGACTTTAAAAGTTCTTTCACCTCCTCCAACACTGCCAGTGTGACTATCACCAAGTTGTGCACCATGAAACAGAAAGAATCAGTGGAACAATACATCACTGATTTCAGAACCACTGCTGCTGATTCAACCATCACAGAAGATGTCACATTGATTGAGTTCTTCTCACAAGGACTCAAGCCCTTCATTGTGAACTGGATCCATATGATGGAAACCACTCCCACCAAGATCACTGAGTGGTACACCCAAGCACAAAAGTTTGATGCCAAATGGAGGAAAGTGAATGAAATTTCTGGAAAGAAAGAGAAGAGGACATTCTACCCCAAGAACAACCTCATTGAAGAAAAAGATCCAAAAGCTATGGACATGGGTGGAGTGAGATTCTCCAAGGAAGAAAGAGACCATCACATCAAGGAAGGAAGATGTTTCAGTTGTGGAAATAAAGGACATCTCTCTTGAGAATGTCCTGAAAGAGGGAAAACCCCTCAGAAGAAAGTAAAGAAGATCCACAAGGTTGTGGAGATTGAAGAAAGCAATGATGAAGAAAAAGTCGCTGGCCCATCTGTCGCCCTGGTAAACATTGCCAGAGCACTTGGAATGGGTTTTTAAAAGGGAACTCTGCATTGATGCCAGAAGTT